CAATATGGTAAGGTGTGCATTTTCTTTTGAAATAGTTTGTTGTACTCGTGGCCAAATGCATGTATTGCTAATTTGCTATTGACCCAGCAACAGTGACTCAACTGGAAGTGCACCTACATGTACAGTCAAACCTTACTGATCCGATCCTCTTTTGCCGGGATTGCTCAGCAACCGGTGGAAAATCAGTGTGAAGACCCCCCACCCGTGGACCCCAGTCTTACATGTGTTCGCCTATCCCAATATTCCGGTTTCCCGGGTGAACTTGAACACAAACACTTGTAGTAATGACAGCGAAGAGCTTTGGTTGTCTGGTGCGTAACCTATGTGACTACTACTGGCGTGATGTTGCTAGGCGTAGGAAAGGAACGAATATACATGTACAGTGTATGTGTATAATGTATATTACATTCAGCTGTACATGCTACCGGGGAGGATACTGTGTACGTGTCTACGTATACATGTACAGTCTACTGCACCACGGTCACTGTATACTTCTGAAGCACATGATTGGAGTACAATCATGTAGCTCCACGGCTGTGATATCGTTAGTTCAAAGAAAGTATATATTGAGCACCCCGCTTCTGCAGGTGTCTTGTCCAATTTATCAGCTGTTACATTGTCCTGTGTTGTTTATTCCCATTCTGTCTTATTAAAAGACTCACATAGGTTCCTGTATCAATCATTTTGAGCCACTGGTAGTGCGTGCACTGCATGTCTACATCACCACACACTCCACTAGTGTCCAGCATCAGATACTCTGCTTGCTCATGAGACTTGTCAACCTGCGCGTCAATTATGCTATGTTGGATGCTGACCAGGTATGTTTTGCTACCTACAATGATGCTCGTATAGCCGATATTGCTATACTGTTGTTGTCGGTGCTGCTGTTGTACTGCTAGCGGTGCTGCTGGTGTACTGCTAGCGGTGCTGCTGGTGTAGGCAGTGGCAGTGTTAGTGATGCTGCTCATGCTGCTGGTGGTATCCTTGCTGCTGCTGCTGCTGCTGCTGCTGCTGCTGCTGCTGATGTTGTTGTTGGTGCTGTTTCCAGTGCTGTGACTGTTGTTATCACTGCTGATAGTAGTGATGCTACAATGTACTGTGGTTACAAATGCTGGAGGGCTGGTGCTGCAATTGATGGTGTGCCAGAATAATATTTAATATTAGCCAGTGTCAGTCATTTCTTGGATATTTTTTTTGGAGAGGGTGGGGGCTTGTGAAAACTGTTAATCTTTACAGAGTTACTTTGCCTGTGTTGGCTAAATTACTTTTCTGGATTTACATGCTATTTCTTTTCACAGAAATTTGTGAAGTCCTTGATGAGACAGTTGAGCTATATTGAGCAAGGCCACTTTGTAAGGTCAGTGATCCGGTAGTTGTGCCAATTTCAGCGTTTTGATAATCTGTCTCAACCAGATATGCACATGTATGTTCATTCTAGCATTTGTAATTCTGTATCTTTATTGCATCTTTGGCTGTGTTCCTGTTCTGTTTTTCATGTGTTATATCTTCTTCATTTGCAACTGCACTGCACTGTGTGTTGCAGAGATGCGGGTGAGATCATTCCGTCCATGTTCCAGTTTCTCATCCTGCTCTCTTATGAACGTCACAACGTCAAGGCCATTGTTCAAGTTCCTCAGATCATTCAGCTTTGTGACGGTATCATGGCCAGTGGAGAAATGGCTGTTTCGCACGGTAAGCTGTGCAGTTTGTGTTATACTTGCACACCACTTGGTGATGAGAGTGAAACGCCTTTTTAGGTACAATTTGACTTAACGTTATCTGACTATTGGTGTTTGGTGTGCACATCCATACGTTTTACACTGGCACAGTTCCGGCAAGTGTAGATGCATTGCTGCAGAATGGCTCAGACCACACCGTGATTGCCAGCTATTCTGGACTGTATGTGAAAGTCACGTAATGTTGGCGTGTGCTGTAATGTTAGTGTGTTACATAGTTATACAACGCTTTCAGTGATTTTCTCTCTTCATTTGTTGCTGCTGCTGCCACTGCTGCTGCTGCCACTGCTGCTGCTGCCACTGCCGCCACCGCTGTTGTTGTTGTGGCTGTTGGTTGTTTGTTTTCTGTGTTCATGCTGTAGCTATTCCTGCCTTGGAGGCTATTGTCAATGACCTATTTGTACTTCAGTATGCTGGAACTGATGAAGTATATGATCAAGAGATGGATACTCAGCGTGATGCTGTCCTGGCTATGTTGCTGCGCTTGATCCAGCGGTGTGAGGTTAGCTTGTTTTAAAAAGCTGTGTCTGTTGTCATATACCTATAGTGCATGTGCATGTGTATGTGTATAAGTCATCCAGTGTATATGTGCTGCATGTGTATCTATGCTTTGAGTGTTTACTAGATTACAGACTTGCTCGACTGAATTTTAACAGGTCTCAGCTTTGTTATATGTGCGGTGTGGCAGGGCTTGAAGTTGTTGACGTTGGCGTTACGCCATTCTCACTCGCGACCAATCAAGTGGCAGAACAGGTCGCAGATGGTTCAGGCTATGCTGACTTCTCGCCTCTCCAAACAGCAGGTCAGTGGTCATGATGGATCATTTCTCAAGCACTGTTGTAATCTGTATATTGAGCTGGTTGTGGCTTTGTGCTACTGGCATGTGTAGGTCTTCTCTCTGTTCTTCTCCTGTAAATGTTCAGTCACATTTCGTGTAGTTCTTGCAGGTTCACATATAGTGCTCGCATGCGTTAGATGACAAATCTGCCAGAGGCTTTGGATGGAACGTCCTGATCACAACATTGTATGTTTCAACCAATGAAGTACCAGTGATGAGAATAATCAGACCTGTTTTTCACTTAATTGCCTGAGTAGATGATCGACCGTATAACTGAAAACATTGACACAATAGCAACCCGTGCTTACGCCTGCTGCTTATATGTACTCATTTCAGGTGAACATTGACAACATGGAAGCTGTGGTGCTCCTTCGACGTACCTACTCAGCCGTCACACCAGACTCTATAGATATCACCAGTGCTATTCGACTGCTTGTGGCTCCGGTCAAAATAGAGGTATGTGCGTGTGTGCATGGGCGTATGACACTGTACAGAGGTACATGTATGTGTGTGTGTGGGGGGGGGGGGGGTATGCAATTGTATGCTCGCATGTATGGATGAGAGTGTACTGTCATGCAGGTACATATACCTTGCATTTGTGTTAGTGTATATTCATATTTTGATATGAATACAAAGAACTACTTGTATTGTGTTTTGAACTTAAATTTTTTTTTAAGCCTTCTCATAGCGTTATCACCTTGTCCGTACTGCTGTTGTTGTCTTTGTGGTTTTCCTAGTGACCGGTATCTATTGTAAAATTGCCGTCTTTCAATGGGAAGTCGTTTGGCTAATTATTTTCTACATGCATCAATGTCCTTTGTTTCTTTTTGCAGGCTAGCCCGGTAACATTTCACAGGTGGTTGGGCACTGTGTTTGTTCTTTTTCGAGTGCTGATGACTTTCTCAAGTGAAGAGCAGATGTTTAGCACAATCCAATCCATGAGTTCTCTGCCCAGTCCATTCTGGTCTCTACCAAGCTCAGTTCAAGCGCCAGCCAGTGTTGATAGCAGTCAGCCCGCCAAAGTGAGTACATACCCATTCAATATCAAGTTGAGATGCTGCATGGTGGGGCCCTTATGACAACTGTTGGATTTCACTTGCTACGGCTGTAATAACTATTGTAGAAATGTACTCATTACTGACATTAGTTGAGGGAGTTGAAAAGGGAAAAGTAGAAATGTACATTAATACTAGTGCGGCACAAAGCCCCCGAGTTGGATTGTACTTGGTGTCTTATTGTTCCACAGCTACTGAACTGTTGATGTGACTAGAGGCTTACTCTGGTAATGCTATGTGCTAACGTGTATTCACATGTGACTTGCGTACCTTGCGTGTGTTGTGTGCAGTTCTTGATCTGTTTCTTGGCATCGGTCATGTGTCGTGCATTCCATCACATCCTGGTTGCTGGTGATCATGTACTCACTGTGGGCAGCGGCCATGTGGAGTTTGTGTGTCAACTCACTGGACAGTTGATGCTCGTATGGCAGACACTATTGCACAGTAAGTGCTCATCAACTAGTAGTGGTATTTTACTGCTGCTGATGTCTCTGTTACTGCTATGGCTGTTGCAGCTGCTGTTGCTGGTATTGCTGCAGCTACCTTTGTTGCTGCTTCTGCTGCTGTTACTGCTGCTGGTGCTGCTGCTGGTGCTGCTTCTGCTGCTGTTACTGCTGCTGGTGCTGCTGCTGGTGCTGCTTCTGCTGCTGTTACTGCTGCTGGTGCTTCTGCTGCTGTTACTGCTGCTGGTGCTGCTGGTGCTGCTGGTGCTGCTGCTCTTATGACTGGTATTGAGTGAATTGCATTGTGTCCTAGGAGCCTTCCAATGGCTGTGATATACATGTACCTGTGCAACCAATGTTCTATGTGAGGAGTGGAAGCACATACGCTTTGCAAACTCTCACCGTGGTATTGGTTTGGAGATGTTGCTGCAGAACCAGATTGCTTTCATCCGATTTATCGTCGCCTCGGAAAGACCGATCCAACGTGCTATGTCCTGTGCCGTGCCAAATAGCGAACATAGCGTCCTGACTCCTAATTGCTCCTTTATGACTCCTGGCCATGCACAGTTGTCGGGTGTGTTCTATCTTGTACTTCAGTAGTTTGTGCTAATTCACTTTCTGTCACGTCCGGTTCCTTGCCTCTTTCTTTGGGGGGGGGGGGGGGGTTAACCGTTTTCACCCATCGGTTGTTTGATGATTGTGACGATGAGCGTCAAGCTCGGAGTAGTAGCGGATTTCCTCTTTCCTCACGATGTCATACTAATACTACTACATTAGTATTTTTACACAGCCGCTTTGACATCAGGCCTATCAAACATTCTCCTTCTGTCAGACTGGACCGCTTCCAACTCCGATTATATCCTAGTGGCAAATATGACGCCTAATGACGAGGATGATGGGAGCGGGGTGTGGCAGATTGTGCAGTAGTTTAAAAATGGCTGGTGGTTTGTACCGGAACTATTGCTTGTGAAGAGTGTAATGTAGCTTGTGCCTTTCCTTTTTCTTCTCTCCATTTTGTAGGTGGCTTTCCTAAGTTGGCACAAGCGTCACAGGCGGTAGCAGAAGCTGAGAATGACTTCCTTCCGCAGATCAATGCCGTGGCACTGCAACTAGCGCACTTTCAACCAGTACTGCTGCTCTCCTGGTCACACGTTCTACTCTACAGTCGGTTTGATCGCTGGAACTACTGGCATCAGCTACTTGAGCCGGGCTACCGACAAGATGGGGAGGCACTAAGTTCAGACAATGAACAAGAGCATCAGTCTTCAACTGCAGTAGCCAACCTGTCCTGTAGCCGGTCGCATCGAATCCTTCAAGCTGGTGCTGCTGCTCTTTTCTCTCACTTTGTTGTGAGTTGAACATTAGCTGGTGGTTTGTGTGTTTGCCTGCCTAGTGTTGCGTATGCTGCGTGTATGTTAGTGTGCATGTGTGGTTGCGTGCATGTGCCTGTATGTGTGTGTGTGTGTGTGTGTGTGTGTGTGTGTGTGTGTGTGTGTGTGTGTGTGTGTGTGTGTGTAGTTGATGATTGTGCTTGTATTGCCAAGTGTTCATTGGTTATTACTTGGTAATGACCGGCGTTTTACATGATTTCTGTGTTGACGGCATCTGTTACCCATTATGCAAGCCCGCTAAGACATGGTGGTGCCAAGTTTGGATCCAAGGATGCATACATACTCTTACTTGAGGGATTTTCTTGAAATAGGTTTCATAGAGCATTGTAAGAGTTTGCATGAAATATTGATAGCATTCATGGTTTCACGGTGGACAGTGGCAGAATCATGTACACACTTTGCAAAGTTAGGTTTGGTCTTTTTCTAACCATTGACTTTTGTGCTTGGTGTTGGTGTTGTGTTTGTGCGTGCGTGCATGCGTGCGTGTGTGCGTGTGTGTGTGTGTGTGTGTGTGTGTGTGTGTGTGTGTGTGTGTGTGTGCCTGAATGCCTGTGTCTGTTTGCCCGTGTCTGTGCGCCTATGTGCTTGTGTGTTGCGTTGTGTTGTGACATCTGCATTGTGAATGCAATTGTTGCTGCTTGCAGTTGAAATTTGGCAACAGGAGCACTCTGATCTTTTTGAAGAGACATTGCAGTCTGCTGGTGTCACTGCAACATGAACCACCTGTGCTGCAACTCATCAAGTATGTCAACAGATCTTGTGTGTGTGTGCGTGCGTGCGCGTGCGTGCGCGTGCGTGCACGTGCGTGCACGTGTGTGTGTGTGTTTGTGTGTGTGTGTGTGTGTGTGTGTGTGTGTGTGTGTGTGTGTGTGTGTGTGTGTGTGTGTGTGTGTGTGTGTGTGAGGGGGGGGGGGGGGTATGCAGCTAATAATGCATGCGAGTGTAGATTTGGGTGAGTTTGTGCATGCAAGACATGTACAGACATCTAGGCTTGAGTCGTGTATTTGATCCTGTATTCTCAAGCAGAGCTGATGGACTGGTTGCCTTGTAATTTCTGGACAAAGACCATGACTTGTCTTGCATGTAATCAGGAACCTAACACTGTGCATGCATTCGGGTGTGCTTGTGTGCTTGTGTGCTTGTGTACTTGTGTGCTTGTGTGTTGCCTTGTGTACTTGTGTACTTGTGTGCTTGTGTACTTGTGTGCTTGTGTACTTGTGTGCTTGTGTGTTGCCTTGTGTACTTGTGTGCTTGTGTGTTGCCTTGTGTACTTGTGTACTTGTGTGCTTGTGTGTTGCCTTGTGTACTTGTGTGCTTGTGTGTTGCCTTGTGTTTACTTGTATCCTCAATGCACGATGTTCATTCTCTGCAGGAGTGTGCAGAACTCACAGCAGATGGGAAGTGTCTTTCTCAATGTCCTCTCGCAGCGTGCTCCGACATGGATCGTAGGTTTTGCCGTTTTGTTTGACTTTGCCGTGGAGTGTAGTTCTGATTATTGTGTATCGTGATATACAAGTTCTGGGTGCTGATGCATGTAAATGCTGTTATTGCATCTTTTTGTTAGCATCCACTTTTGTTGGCATCCACTTTTGTTGTTCAAGTGCAGTGTAAGCTAGCAGCTTAATTTCACGTTTGCCCTTGGGTGGTACAGAGGTTTTGCATAGTCCCCGTAGCCCTAAAAGGCTGTTGGGACATCGAAGGGGAAGAAAAGCAGATATCTCGCTTGCAATCTCTACTATATACATCACTAATATTAACAAGGAAGCCAGCCTTTGACCAATTCCTATTTGCTTTGCCGGAACTGTGTGTTGTGTTGTACTGTTGCAGAACTGTGTGTTGTGTTGTCCTGTTGCAGAACTGTGTGTTGTGTTGTACTGTTGCAGAACTGTGTGTTGTGTTGTACTGTTGCAGAACTGTGTGTTGTGTGTTGTACCGTTACAGAACTGTGTGTTGTGTGTTGTACCGTTACAGAACTGTGTGTTGTGTTGCACTGTTACAGAACTGTGTGTTGTGTTGCACTGTTACAGAACTGTGTGAAATGGCAGCATTCTCTACTGCAAGTCCTTGCTACGGCGCACTTTGGCTGTTTGGCCACCGTTCTGGAGCTGCTTGTCTGCTTGGTACTGCCATCGGAGCATCTACTTCCCGCGTTCCGTGCATCCATTGCCAAGCTAGCTGTTCAGCATATTGAGAAAGCTCTGGATTTCAAGGATGGGGTGAGCAGTCACGACCAGACATATTATACTGGCTAGCAATGCTCCTCTCAATGTAATGCATGAACTACAGCATGGAGGATTCCATGTATGCCCCAAAGAGTGTCTTGCAAGCTGCCTTGCTTGCTCATGTGCACATGAACTGGTTGTGGAAGTGGAAAAATGCAAGCCCTGTGTCGTCATAATGTGCGCCTGTGTATACCGTATTTTTCCGGTTGTAAGTCGACCTTGTACGACTAAAAATAGAAGGAGAAAGGGTGGGGGTCGACTTACAACCGGGATTCGACTTATAACCAGGTATCTTACAAAAAACGACCTGCACTGCATGCACGAGTGCACCATGTGTACACATTTTTGCCAGTTTATTGGCCTTTTTCAAGGATTGGGATGTTATACCTTCCACTAAGGAATGTTTACATGATTTGTTGATGTGTTAGTAGAAGGGAGTGGTTAGTAGTGCTTCTTTGGGTGAAAACTTTAAAACGCAGAATTGAGACCTCCGGATACGGGGGTCGACCTATAACCGGGGTCGACTTACAACCGGTAAAATACGGTACATGCATGTGTGTATGATACACAAAAGGCATAAAGGAGGTTTACAGAGTCCCAGTTTCTTGCACAATGCAATCATCAGGCGACTTGTGACATGTTCAGTGGGACTTGGCCAGCATATAAACCATAGTTTGGGGGTGGTTGGTGGGTATTGATTCAGCACAGAAAAATAGTGTGTATGACTGTACATGACGGTGTGTATGCACTTGTATTTGCCTGGTTTGTATGTTTTCTAGCAACTCAACTCACTGCTGTCAAGTAGCACGGTTGAGAAGTTACATGCATCATGCAAGTCACTGCCAAAACATTACCGGTGAGTTATAGAAAGATGCTCTGCTGAGTCATAGCTGCTCCTGCTGAGTCATAGATGCTCTTGTGTAAAATGACCATTGACCAAGTTCATACAGCTGGTGCACGGGAACAGATTCCATTCCTCTTTCTGTGTGCAGAGGGCCTTGTACGAAATGAATTATGTGTGTGTACGTTGACTGTGTCTTGTGCTTATTGGTTCAGTGTTGCGAATCTTGTTGCTGCGCTGGATAAGCTCAAAGCTCAACTGGCTGATGCCGATGATTCTGGCAAGGGTGATTCATCTGTATCTGACACCCAGGAAGTAGGTGCTCTTCATTCAACAAGTGCTGTAAAGAGTTTGGACGACTCTGGCAAGGTACAGTTTAGCATAGTTCTGAAAGTTGAAATAGTGTGTACGCCTATGTACTTGCTGGGTGCACAAGTGTGTACGTGGGCGAATCCCCTAGTATTTGTGGATACGCCGGGTTCTCATGCTGAAGGAGAAACTTTCATGCATGGGCAGCATTTCTTTTGTTGGTCATCATTATTATTTGCACTGGCTACTGAACAACTTCCTTAGCTGGTGGTAATGCGGACAGGCAAACTTTACTTTACTTTTTCCCGAGTATGTGTTTGTCATGTGCTGTTGTCACATGACGTTCATTCTTGATGCTAATGTCTTCATAGCTACTGGTATACCTCTCCTTTTCCTTATAGTGTTATCATGCGGTTCTCACTCTTTGGTTTGCCTGGTTTGCCTCTTTCACTTCACGGTGTGCTATGCTGACTTCCTGTAAACAGGGTTTCTACAAGAACCTGGCTCTCTCTGTGTGCCGTTCAAAGCCTGCTCACATCAACCCTCATCGTGCAGCTACACTGCTCATATGCCTTGAGCCAGATGATATTGAGAGCATTCTCAATGATCCGGTTAGTACTTACCTGAGTGCCGAGTAGCCTTGGCTAACTGTGTGCATCCCTTGACCGTGTTTAGCCGGTGGCTGCCTACTCTGACATGTTCTATCATACTTGACCAGTCCTGATAGTAGTATAGGGGGAGGAACCCCCTCCCCCTGTACTACTCCTGATGGCGACGTGTCTTTTAGCTTAGTAGACTACCAACTGCTATGTTTAGATCATGGCTCTCTCCTCTCTCTCTCTCTCTCTCTCTCTCTCTCTCTCTCTCTCTCTCTCTCTCTCTCTCTCTCTCTCTCTCTCTCTCTCTCTCTCTCTCTCTCTCTCTCTCTCTCTCTCTCTCTCTCTCTCTCTCTCTCTCTCTCTCTCGTCTCTCGTCTCTCGTCTCTCGTCTCTCGTCTCTCGTCTCCGGCTTGCCCCCCCCCCCCTCTCTCTATCTTGATTCTTGAATATGAATTTGGCCGTCACAGGTTGCATATGGCACTGTACTTAGACATGCTTGTGAAGTTATCTAGTGTACAGTGTAACAGACACTGTATGATACACTGTATAGCACAGTGTATCAGACTGTGTAGACGATGCAGTGTACGATACTGTGTATCAGACAGTGTATGATGCAGTGTATGATATAGTGTATAATACGGTGTATGATACAGCGTACGGTCCAGTGTAGGATACAGCGTACGATACAGTCAGTGTATGAGATGAACATTGTATGCTCTGTACTGATATTTCAGTTTGTCATTTGTGCTCTGTCACTGTGTGCGATTATATTGTGCAGGATTTCAATGTTGAACTGCTTTCTGCTTGTGTGGAGGCTGGCATCAATGATACTGGGACTGTTCTATCTAGTCGTGAATCCATTGCTGCACTGGAGGTAGGTGTGTGCCTAGATAGTTTTATACTGATGAGCTAGCAACTGAGTGGAACGGCAATGTGTACTAGAGTATTCAGTGCATGAGGGAGGCAGACTCACAGTGCAAGAACATCAAGCGCAAATTCTGTGAACTGAGTCCGATGAATATCATATTTCTCTTGGTAGATGGCCATGGAATTATATAATAAAAGTGGAGATGTGTATGCAGGTCAGAGGAAAGGGTTTTCCACCTAAACTGCATATTCCCCACGGCCACACTTGGCGGAAAGTAGTACCGGTAGTACTTTGGTATTATTACTTGTTGTTGACATGGAACTTCCCTTGCACACATCCAAGCTCCAGCAAGGAACATCTGTATTTATAACATTCACATTGGGCTATACATTCAAGAGGAAGAGAGAGGAATGAGTTATGACTTGAGAGCTCCAACTTTATACTGTCCACACTTCTGTGTACACGTACACATCAACTGCATGTGTGTCTGGTATGGAGCAGGCTGTGTGCACACTCCTGCACTGCAGTCTTCAATGCGAATGCAAGAGTAATGTCACAGAAAGGCGGAAATACCGGAATTCTCTTTTGAAGATCGGAGTTTGTCGGGGAGCTAGATATTGGAATTTTTGGTCTTAGACCACTTTGTGCTTGGTCTTATCTCCTCGCCTTCTTCTACGTCTGCACCTTGGTCCTTGAGTGTGGTGGTGTCCTACAAATGCAGAAAGGTTACTCTGACGGACTCTTTATGTAGACTGCACAGAGGCAGTAGGCTTAGGTTCTGCTCAAGTGCTCAATACCTGATTCAGGCAGAGCGGCGTACACAAAGGCACACAATGATAACCTTGGCGAATTCCGTTGTGACTCAGAGTTTCATGGCTGAGCCAATCATCAGACAACGATAATGGAATAGGAGGTATCGCTGGTATATCTAAGTGGAGAGAGGTGTGATAATTCCAGTCTTTATGTAGACTGGAAATTTATTAATTTTGTGTCGGAGAGGGTATTGAAATTTAGAGCCTATCCGCAAATTCGGAGCCATTGGTGGCCCTGATTTTCCACTCCAAACTCTACATCTGTCTTAAGCCATCCCGCATTTTGTGTCAGTATAACTGCTTTCCTTCACCTGATTTTGTTGTTGTCGGTGTGTGTGCGTGTGTAGGATGTGTTGGCCGGTGTTCAGGCATCTCCGCTCAAATCATCACAACAGACAGTTGTGAATGATCGCACTCCGCTGCTGCATGCTGCTATCAATACTTGCTTCAGGAGAATGGAAGAGTTCCTAGCCATTACAGATGTTACGTGTCAACATCTCAGCACGGGATGTCATCTTGGAGCAGCACTGGTTTCATTTTGTCTCCAGTCTGGTGCTCTGCCGAAAAGGTGCAGCAAACTTGAGCCGGGCCAACACACCACTGCTGTCAAATTCACTCTTCTTTTAGTGCAGGTGAGTTCAGTATATACCGTACGGTATTATGGTGTGTGTGGGTGTGGGTATGGGTGTGTGTGTGTGTGTGTGTGGGGGGGGGGGGGGGGGTGCACATGTGTGTATGCATGCATGCGTGCATGTGTATCTTGTTTGCCATCGAATGCTTCTATGGCCAGTGACGTTAACATACTGGTTATAGCACCAGACAGCATCTAGTACTCCATTTACCTGGACGAATGATAGAGAAACAAAGTACCTTTCAGTGGATTTGGTCTCTCTCTCTCTCCTCTCCTCTCTCTCTCTCTCTCTCTCTCTCTCTCTCTCTCTCTCTCTCTCTCTCTCTCTCTCTCTCTCTCTCTCTCTCTCTCTCTCTCTCTCTCTCTCTCTCTCTCTCTCTCTCTCTCTCTCTCTCTCTTCTCTCTCTCTCTCTCTCTCTCTCTCTCTCTCTCTCTCTCTCTCTCTCTCTTCTCTCTCTCTCTCTCTCTCTCTCTCTCTCTCTCTCTCTCTCTCTCTCTCTCTCTCCCTCTCTTCCTCTCCCTTTCTTTCATTCTCTTCCTCTTCCTCTTCCTCTCCCTCTCTTCTATTATATAGCTTCTTGTCAAGGAAATCCAGCGTGCCAGAATGCCAAGTTGTCTGGATGTATCGCGATGTCTCAAGTGTCTGCTAGTGGTGAGTTGTGAGAGCTGCCTGTCAGGTTATGCTCCTGGAACTGAAAAAGAAATCTGGCTCTAGTGCTGTGGTGACTTCCAGGAGAGTTGTTGACATGACATTGTGTAGTGCATGTGGGATAAGTAATCTAACTGCTGAAGTGTGACGGTCATTCCAATTTCCAATATTCTACTGTGCTGCTTGCTTACTGCAATGCTTTGCTTCCATGCAGATTTTATTACATGAGGACATGTTTGATCAGCTGAACAAGAGCACTCCTGTAGCGGATATCTGCCAGCTGATCAGCAACGCTCATTTTCTACTTGAAGCACGTAAGTTCTATGCAGGCGGCAAGGTGGTGTGCTTCTTCTTCTCATTGGGAGATATGGGCATCAGTGTTGGTGCAGCCTCGGTGATATCCAGTTGGAGTTGCACGAGGCCGTCTCTATAACTCTCTCCCCAATTGGACTGTGCTCAGTGTTGTGTTGTGGATGACCGTGAGGGAGTGTTTCATTTTTCCTCGTGTACATGCACATGTGAGTGGCGGAGGCAAGGCATAGTGACAGGAGTCCATATTTGTATCCTCATGGACCGAGTAATGTTACAGTAGAGGTGAATATGCAATACAGGGTCACACACCGTGCAATCCAGACATGGATGACAAATACCAGGAGGGACACTCGGGACCGCTCAACTGTTCTCTGCGCGGCAAAGAGGACCTGTCTATTTTTAAATTTTAATCCATCATTTTTGAGCTTTTTTTTAGTCTTTCTGACTTTGTTTCCTTTTTGCACAATCCTGTCCAGGTCATGAATGTCTGTCCCACCTTTCATGTTGTGCTCTTCACAGCATGTGCACTGGGCACACTAGCTAGCACAAACGAACAAAACAAAATAGAGATCCAGCAAACATGTGCATGCACATATAGAGAGTGCACATGCCCAGTTGAACCAGTGCCTCTTCATTGCAGCTCGAAACCTGCGGTAGCCTTGGTTATAGCCTTTGTTTAGCACAAGATGTATGGTTTGTATGACTTGTGTGTGTTTCCATGTCCAGTTGTACTACCTGCTGGAATGCACCTAGTAGCATCTTTCAGTTCAAGTAACAGTGATGATGAGAGGCAAGCATCATCTCCAGACACACCATCAGGTACATGTTACGTTACAGCTGCGACCAGTTGGAATATGCATAGCAGGATAGCATAATGAATGCTCAACTGAACGGCGGTCTGTTGTAGACTGTACACCTGATTATTTTATGTATATGCCCAAGTTCCAAGCCAAGCATTGGTATTCCAACACACAGCCAACAGTTTATCAGTTGGACACCGTACTACTACCTACTTCCATGTCACTGATAGTATACCTGTATGTGCATGATGTGTATTGCAATGGCTTATGTGCATGGTGTGTAGTGTAGTGTAGTGTGGTGGAGACATACAACAGTGTACAGTCTACTGATCTGCTCAGTGTTGACGGTACATGTGCAGTGCAGACTTCGATACTGTAGTCAGCTACGGCCTACATGGTGTAGTACTCAGTATATGTTCAGTCTCTTGTACATATCTCTCTGTAGGGTCAGTTTCAAGATGGATTTTTCATGTGTGTTCTTGCAACGTGCTGAATTTTGTTTCCTTATGTTGCGTATGTGTGTGCGTGCGTGCGTGCGTGTGTGTTCCAGAGGGAGACAGCGAGCAGAGCGGTATCTCTCAAGCAAGAGAGCATGCCTGCGACATGATGCTCGCTCTGAAAGACTACCTGCAGACATGCATGCCATCAGCCATGTTCAGTCATGTTCAGCCGCCGTACTTCCTGCGTGACATTCTTCACAAATGTGTAGTGTGCTTGTGTCGCTTGTCACTTGTAAATAACTACTGTCGAACACCACCGCTAGCCTGGAAGATGGGCTGGGCTGATGCACTGGCATTGTCATCAGGAAACAACCCATTACCACCACTGCCGGCTGACTTGCTGCGAGAGAGAGATCTTCTTGTTGACTTCATTTGGAGAGCTAACGTACTCGGTAAGTCTCTAACTGTACATGGAGTCCATTGTCACTTTGCTGTAGGTTGATCTTGCTCATACAGTTGAACATCGATTATCCGACCACCGCTGGGCAGACAACTGTCAGGCGGTGTTCAGATAAGGCAAATGTTCCGGATAAGAAACATGTACATGTACATGTACGACCTTTTTACTTTTCAAAATTTTCGTATTTTTTGAATGGCTCACTACATGCACAGTGCGTACTCTACGGCACGTGCGCCCAAAAAAACTGTTACGGATAATCGAATGGTCGGATAGTCGATGTGCGGATAATCGATGTTCAACTGTATTGAGATGAGAAGGAATTTCGATACTGTTTGCCCTGTTCGTAAGTTTACACTTTTGGTGACAGCTTGACGAATACTTCAAAGTAAGCACCCACTAGTACATTTCCGTTTCTTTTAAACCCTTTCTCTATAACCAGATAACTGGCGAAGCGTAGCAGTGATAGCAGCTACATGTACCTGTTAACGTATGTGCCCATACTTGGGTGTGTGCGTGTGTGCATGTGCATGTGCATGTGCATGTTCGGGTGTGCGTGTGCATGTGCATGTGCATGCATGTGGATGTATGTCACAGGTTGGACAGGTCGCTTACAGTTTGAAGAGACATGGACGTCATTGCTCGGTATGCTGATCAGTAGTCCGCAGCTCGCCGACTATCCACCTGAGGTAAAACCTGGATGCCCTAGACATGGACAGAGAGTTGTTGATCGATTTTTTGGAATGCTTTCACACCCAACCCTTGTAAAGAGTATAACAGATAATCATGAAGTACAATAATGATTTGTTCATTGGTGTGAAGAGTTCTACTTGAAGTATTTCATTGCTGTCTGTCACTTGTTTGTGCTGTGTACCAGGAGCAAGTGGAGTCTATTCAGATGTCCTGTCTAACAGTGATTGGTATCGCTAGTCTATTGGTTGCTAGTAACCTGACACCGCGCACTGGTCATCCACCAGCGGCGGTACACTATCATCAGCCCAGACAACAGGAGTTACCCTTCCTTGGTGGACGGTGAGTTCCTACTAAAGACTCTAGTCTAGACTGATGAGTCACACACAGATGTGTGTTGATTTATGAAAGTTGATGGTCACATTCTTGCCAGTACTGGTAGGGAAATAATGCCTTGCAAGCTGCATAGCTCTGTTGCTGCCACCTTCATGGCACTGGCAGCGGCGGAAGCTGTGGTCATCTTCTCTCTGTATAGTACTGTGGTCTTCCATGAAATCTGATCCTGTAAGTCAAGTACGCGCTGGACGCTGTGCAGCCGTAGGCCTGCGGACACTGGGATGTTCAGCTGGTGCAGGGCGCAAAGCTGACTCACTCGATCGGTTTTCATTGAGCAGCACTGTAGTAGTTAGTAGTATTTATTTTATTTACCATCGGATGCCTCAACAGTGATATACACAACTCTTATAGGCTATTTATACTACGTTCCAATACGTGTCACGTTTGGGAATACGACGTACTGGCAGACGTCGTTTTCATGCAGGTGCATTCACACAGGCACGTATACGCCTTTCGTACGGCTGTGCACACAGGTTCGTTTGGACACAAACTGCTGGGAACGACAGAACGAACCCCGGTACAGGGGTCTGGATACGTAGTCTACGTTTTCGTATCGGGGGTACGATTTTCCCGCCACGTTCCATGTTGTCATGGCTATCCGGACGAAAACGTCACGTACGCCACATTTTGGGCGTAGTGTGAATGGCCCATTAAGAGGGCCGATAACGGGATAAGTGAAAAGGAAAAGAAAAGAAGAAGAAAAATTGGAATCCAGACATCAAGCAGTACAGTAATCAAACACCAAATCGACTTCAAACTTAGTACAAGAACGATCAAGATCATCGAGAAACTCAACGGATTCCAAAAAGGTCAAAATACTTCTTAAACACCACTGGGTCTTTAAAAAGATCCCTGAGTTGGTTTGCAAATGTAGAGGTACAGTGGTGTCTGCGCCACTCGGCAGGCAGTGTATTAAAGATTAAAGAAAATTGCGGCACGATTAGAAAAAGAATTTACTCCATCAGTTGTCCGGGGCTTAGATATGGCAATGGAAGCATTAGAGTGGCTTCTAGTTCTAGGGCCTGTTGTGATCGGTGGAAATAATTCCGTTAGGGAAGGCAGTGAGATGATGAGATGATTTCTATGAATAAACTGGGCAAATCCAATAGTCAGCTATATTACAACACTAGAATGACGAAAGAAGGAACTCCTTCTCAATGTCACCAGTCAGGGCAACTGGATAGCACCGAAAGCGGAGGAGGACGTCTGGGATGTGCTCCAGCAAGTTCGGCCCGGAGTGGAGACAGCTGTTGATGGAAGGATTCTTCCCTGTGTGTGCTGAGGCACCGTACACCACCCGCACCTTGGTGGTGGCCTTGTCCTTGCGGACCACTGCTTGGTGGGGAATGTAGTGAACTTCACCCACCTCGCCGACTTCGTTTGCTGGCACCTCTCCAATGACGCCAGTTACCAACTGCTCTGCCATGACACGGGCATACTCATTGAACACGTCTGGCACCTTCTCGATCTTGGTGGTGAGAGACAATAGCCGCTTGTGGCTCAGTGCAAAATTGTCCGGCAGCACAGCGTGGACTTCTTTCCACGGGAGGCTCACAGTGTAGCGGCCGTCAGCAAACTTGATTGTCTCGTCGAACGCTGGTTGCACTGGTTTCCCATCCAAGGGCTGGATACCGAGAGACTCCAGGTCCCAGAACCGCTTTAGCTGCTGCTCTAGCTGCTCAGCCGTGACCGCGAACACGTGCGTTGCTGCTGAATCTGGTGCTGATGGCTTGGGACAACCGGACAAAACCCAACCAAGTTTTGTCCCTATGGCAACCAGGGTATCATTGCCACGGATGATTTTGCCCTCTGTGAATTGCCAGTAGTGGTCTGCACCAATCGGGATGTCCACATTGGCCGCGCCAGTGCAATTATCGGCCACTTTCAATGTCGAAAACGGTGCGAGCGACTCCGCTACCTCGGTCGGAAACTGCCGGCTGATCGGCGCGCTGATCAAAGGAACGGCTACTGCTGCCACTGACACTGGGCTCCCCTCCAGTGTTGCGATGCTCAGTTGCACGACGTCAACTTCCTTTGATGACCCGTGCTGTGTTCCAAAACCACGTATGGCCAGCTGCTCCGTGTGGTCCGTCGGCAGGTCCAACTGTTGACGCAGGCTGTTCGTTACGTATGACCGCTGGCTGCCCAAATCTAACAAGATGCGGGCTGTGAGCTGACGGTTCGGTTCTTTCTGGGAGGCTACCGCTGCATTGGTCGTCTGTAGTAGCGGTGCCGATGCCTGCGACATGGCGGAGCACGTTCCGGAGAATGTCTGCTGCCCATCTGCGCAAGTGGTGGTGTGGTGCCGTCTATCACATTTTGCCACACTGTATCTTGGACATACACTTGGCTGCTATGTGCCCTTTCCTCGTGCACACAAAACAGCGGCGCTGCTGAAAATTAACAGATCTTTCCGCTTAGCCACACTGGCTACTACGGAACACGACGCAGTAGCGTGGTCTCGCCCACAGTAGATGCATGTCATATTGTGCACTGTGGTGTTGAGTGATGCCGCTGTTGCCATGGCGCCCCGGCTTGGCTCCCTGGTGCCACTTTGGACACTGGCCACATAGGAACAGCGTTCCCTGGTTCGTATTTCTTCCCGCAACTGCCGCAGCACTTCTTGCAACGAGAAGGACGCATCGCCTACACCTTTGCACACATCCAGGCGCACCGCCTTTGGCAGTTTCTGCAGAAGAATTGGGGCGAACATGTCTGTACATTGAGATCTCCAAGCAGTTGTATTGTTCTTCAATGCGCTGATAAAATTTCTCTTCCCCCCCCCCCTTGGTGAAATTGCCTTGTGTCTGTTAGATAATCACGACCGCCCCAACTCACTCCCGGACACGCACTCGCAACAACGTCCACAACGAGTTCTTTGGCGAACAGTGTTCATATAATTATTGGAGAAGGAGCAGAGAATGTGGGAGAGCGAAAAACACAAGTTTGTTCCACGGCCAACTCTAAAAAACTAACTGGAACTGACGTAGTTCTTCGTTGTACGCACTGTACGCATGAGAGCACGCCAGTTGCATGCCAGCGCGCAAGCGAGCAATAGATGAACATGAAACGGACACCAGAAGTAAAAGGATCTGGCGGTGACACAAAGTCAAAGGGAATGTATTACATGTCGGGAGACCATCAATGAGCCATGGTAGCCGGCGGGTGCAACAAGGAATGTAAGACAGAAGTTAGAGCAACGAATACCATGCATGCTCTCACATGTCTTTTTTGCAGGGCTGGAAAGCGCTTGTGTGAGGTGTGCCAGTCTGTGGATCGATTCCTGAATGGTTCTGTGTCATCGGCAAGGTACTGTTTATCCTGAATGTTTATGTGTTCGTGTGTGTGTGTGTTCGTGTGTGTGTGTTCGTGTGTGTGTGTTCGTGTGTGTGTGTTCGTGTGTGTGTGTGTGTGTTCGTGTGTGTGTGTGTGTGTGTTCGTGTGTGTGTGTGTGTGTTCGTGTGTGTGTGTGTGTGTGTGTGTGTGTGTGTGTGTGCGTGTGCATGTGTGTGCATGCATGCAGTGTGCGTGCATGCATGCAGTGCTGCTGACGTGCATGGATACATAATTATTCATGCACCTGTGCCTATGCACCACTGTAGTGGCATTCACGTAGCGTGGGCATTTGCAACTACTCGAAGTAGCCAGTTGTTAGGTGGACGGTATAAGCGTATGCGATACTACTGCTGCTGTTGTTGCCTGATTGCTTTACTTTCCACACGTGATGTAGCATTGTAGAGCCAACAACCCTCACCAAGACATTGTGTTGCTTGACAATTTCCAGGACGATACGTTTGTCATGCTGTGAAATCCACGTTCTTGTGTCCCTTTTGTCACTGCTCTACTATTCTGCAGCGCGCAGCCATCAGGTAGCTTCACGTCGGCACTCGGGATAACTTGGACAAGCGACTCCAATTCTAGTTACCTGCAACCATCGAGGCCTGTGATCTTCACGCGTAACCTAGACAGGCCGTTAGGTTTCACTGCCTATGGGTTTGGTCAGGTGAGTGTGTGTGCTGAATGTGCTGAATGTGCTGAATGTGGATTGGCAGTACACTACAGTACTGTCGGGCGCCGAAGAACGGCCAGGCTAGAATTTCACTAAATTTTAAGAACGGTCTAGGCTGAATGTTTTGCAAATAAGAACGGCAACCGTAATGTACACTATAATGTACATGTAAGACGTATAACTCTGTATAAATGTACAATGTAAGACTGTACCATCAAATAAGAACGAAACTGCTGTGTTCGCTAAAAATAAGAACGGGCTAGGCTAGAACCCTGACCCCCCCCAGTTCGTCGGCGCCCGGCAGTACTGTGGTGTAGCAAACACGGCATGACGTGGCTGAATGCACAGGGCAGGGCATGCAAGTAATCAATGAGGCGCTTACCATACTATCTATTGCCTGAGGATACTTATACAGTAGATGCATATTTGCTTTAACTTGTGTAGTTGTGAGACATGCAATCATGTACTAGTATTGAAATACTGTACATGTAGTCGCCTGTGAACAATGGGCATTGTATAGTGTGTGCCCGGTATTAGACGTCCTGAACAATAAGAGTGTTAAGAGTGTAAAAGTGGTGTGCTTGGTCGTAGATGTGTCGCTTTTCAGCCAACAATGGAGTTTTTTTCTCAGTTTGTGGCAGTTGAAGGCGATCACAATTCAAGTCGTGAAAGCATCATAGTTTGTAGTTTGCGGCATGTTGTTCTCAGTGCTGAATTGTGCGTGTTCTGGTAACTGCTTTCCTTTCAGTTTTCTGTCAACTATCTCAACTTGCAAGTCGTTTCATCTGACATACGTTGGGATAATGCCAACTCAGATGATGCAGAGGATACGAGTGGTAGTGTGTCACCGACGGTAAGAACCGCTATGATATTTGCATGCGCAGTTGCAATACTAATTGCAATACTTAATTCGCCATGTGCCCGGTATATTATATTGACTTGTCGATGCAAGCTCTTGGATCCTGTAATGCATACACTCCCAACTATTTGACCTGTTCTTCATTCTTTGGTGCGTCAAATAATTATTATCTGATTGTGTATATTTGATCTGTACCACAAACCTGACAGATCTCTGTAGATCTAGTCGTGAAACTGTATGACCTTCGGAGGATGGTTTTGCCTGCAGCATTCGTTGTACTCTAAAGCACCTACAGGCTACAGAGAGCTTGCTGAGGCATGGAATCAAACAACAAAACCGTGTGAACAAGGGTTTCTGCAGAGCTCTTACGACTTCTCAAACCCAGGTAGCGAATGAGCATTCAACCCATGCCCATCTCGTACTCATGGGAAAGTGCAAGAGGCACTTTTGAATCCCTCGTTTGTTAACTGTGTTTATGGAAGCTGAACCAGCAAGTCTATTACAAGTATATCCTCTGTGCGTTTGCCTCCATGTTTGCAGCGTCGTCACAGTGCTCAAGCCATATCTAAGGAGGCAGTCGATGTCAATTCCTGTATTCAACTGATGGAAGATCTCATCTCACAATGGCTGACAGCGGCTTCATCCAGTGCACACTCTGATGCACGACCGCCACTCTATCTTCAGCTGCATGCTGCTCGTGCCGTGAGTTCAGCATGTCTACTTCATTAATTGATGCTGACCGCTTTTAGAAATGCAATCCCTGAATCCCTATTAGGGGTGAAACGGTTCGGGTAAGGAACCGGTTTTGGAACCGCCAGCTGAAGAATCGGGTACCCGTTCCGTCAAATTTCGAACCGAAACTCGAAAAATCTCGTTCTTGTACAAATACATGTACACGTCAAGTCTACTCAAGATTTTAATGTCTTACCTTACGATCCCCACTCTTCCAAAGAGTTCTCTGGTCATTATCTTCTTCGCACTTGGACTCTCCGATGTCTCATTCTTGCTCGTAAAACTGTTTTTTCTAAAAAATAATTGTCGCGAACGCATTTTGTCGGTCTGGACAAAAGAGTCCATGGAACCGATACCCGAACCGTGGGAAACAATGCTGGCATTCGGGTACCCGAACATGAAAAACATGGAACCGTTTCACCCCTAATCCCTATGCATAATTCGTACCTCATGATTCATGATCCCCTATTCCCTATTCAAACCTCATGATTCATTTCGCCATGAGCTCAATGCTTACCTTCGGCACATGGAGTTCATACATGCGTTCGTGTGTGCATTAATGTGTGTGTGGGTGCGTGTGTGTGCACGTGTGCGTGTGTGTGCGTGCGTGCGTGCATGTGTGTATCCATGCATTCATGTGTACGTCCGTGCGTTTGTGCATGTTGGTATCCATGCGTTCATGTGTGCGTCCGTGTGTGTGTGCATGTAAGTGTGTGTGTGTGTGTGTGTGTGTGTGTGCACGTGTGTGTGTGCACGTGTGTGTGTGCACGTGTGTGTGTATGTGTGTGTGTGCATGCGTGCGTGCGTGTATGCGTGTGTGTGCATCATCCCGGTGTAAGGTACAGCACCAGTGCCTGTTTGTACTTCCACTTGCACCCCAGGGTGTTGCTGGTTTGAAGTATTTTTCAGTGCCATTCTGTCGTTGTATGCTTTGACCTGCAGGCCACCATACTCTCGGATCTCTTTTCTGAGATGCAACACTTCACCTGGTTGCTCAAGATGTATTTGAATCTAGCACCGGTTGTGATTGGTGGCCAAGATGATGATCTTCTATTACAACACCTAGTTGTGGGAATATGCCGTGCTGCCGCTGTGTGCCGAGCGGTGAGTTGAGTTGAAACTCTTGCACTACACTTGAGTTAGTTGCTCTGTGGGCGATCTGCTGTAGGACGAGACATCTACGTGTTGTGTAGCTCAGGTCTCCACTGTTTTCCAGGCTGTTATGCTGTGATGTGTAGCTGTGCTTGAGTTTGGTGGCCGTGGACATGATCGGTTTCAGATTGCTTATTGATTGCGCTTGATTGCGCTTGATTGCGCCAGCATGCATATGTACATTTTTTTTTAGTGTGCTCTTCTTCTAGTTGAATGGAAAGTAGGTGAAGTTGCTGTGCACTCCTCTCAGTCTTGTCCAAATAGAACTGTCATGGCCATGTCCTTGAGCAATGTTTGTTGTTGTGAATTTTGATGTGCTAGTCCTGAAATTTGAGGAATGTTGACTCTCTCTCTCTCTCACACTCTCTCTCCTCTGTGTGTGCTGTGTGCATTTTTGTGTGAGGTGTGTGTACATGTGTGTGCTTGTGTGTGTGTGTGTGTGTGTGTGTGTGTGTGTGTGTGTGTGTGTGTGTGTGTGTGTGTGTCTGTGTGTGTGCCTGTGTGTCTGTGTGTGTGTCTGTGTGTGTGTCTGTGTGTATAGGATGGTAATGCTGCTGAGCGTGTCAGTCAGTGCGTGGAGACTGCACTGCGGTCATCCCTGGCCTCCACTCAGGTATGGCACTCTACTTTGCCACGTGTAGTAACCTGTACAGAGTGAACAGAATAACACATGAAATGCATACGTACATCACACAGTACAGCATGCTTGTGCATATGTCTCTGTTGAGTTGCACTTACATTGCATTAAGGGACTTTCTATCAGTTCACTATCACATGTACTTCTGCTCTCCTTGGCTGATTTATATTCTTTGTTTCTGGTGACATTATCACCGGTGGTTTGGGTTAGTATTAGAGAGGTTCTGCAAAACGAAAATGTGTACGAACTTTCGCTCTACGTCACGAAGTGAGAAACTTCGCACGAACTTTCGCAACTTTGGACGCAAAACTTGGAGGGAACGCGAAATGAACTTTCGTAGGAAGTTTCGTGAGATTGGGTCATGTCGTACGTGCACTTGGCGCGTGCAAACTACGAAAATGTGCAGAACACAAAGTTCGTGCGAAAATTCGTACACATTTTCGCAAGGCCTGTCGCGAAACTTCGTTCGAATTTTCGTTGTGCAGAACCTCTCAATTATAAATGGTTAATGATGGCTTACGATAATAGACTAGTGGCTCTAGTATCACACTTCGAAGTAGTACGATACTGTCTATACTCGTCTTCCCCTTGTTCGATATCCCATTATCCGGATTATTCCACCAACTGGACATATTCTGGGTCATGTGGTTTACTGCCTTTGACTGCACTGTGTGCTGTCTGTCGTCCATTTTAATAACTTTATACATCACTGCTAGTGGTGTTGGTGGGAATTGTGAGCTGGCAAGTTTGTCTTCTCAAGCTAGCTGAATGTGTACCTTGAAGGCACAAACATACTGTGTGCGTACCTGATGTTTGCATTGCTGGTGTTGTTGCTTGGACTACTGTGGCTTCCGCTGCTGCTGCTGCTGCTGCTGCTGCTGCTGTTGCTGCTGCTGCTGCTGTTGCTGCTGCTACATAGGTGTGTGGTCTGCAAGGCAGTCTGTATGTTTTGGAGTCCAGGTGTGGTGCAGATCTCAAGGTGTTGCTTCCGTGCATGATTGACTTCATCTCCTCTCATCTTCTGGGGAAGCTAAGGTAAGACTGCATGTGTTTGGAATTGCACCTCAATGCATGTATTTGATATTGATTGTGTGTACATGTGTGTGTGTGTGTGTGTGCGTGCGCGCGCGCACGTGCCCATGCATGTGGGTATGTGTGTGTGTGTGTGTGCACGTGTATGTTCACGTGTGTCTGTGTGTATGTGCACGCACACGTGCATGCATGTGGCATGTGTGTGTGTGTGTGCACGTGTATGTTCACGTGTGTCTGTGTGTATGTGCACGCACACGTGCATGTGTGTGTGTGCACGTGTCTGCACGTGTGTGTTTGTGTGTGTGTGTGTGTTTGTGTGTGTGTGTGTGTGTTTGTGCATGTGTGTGTGTGCAAATGTTTGTGTGTGTGTGTGTGTGCACGTGTGTGTGCGTGTGCGTGTGTGCACAGCGCACACTCCATCGTAAGCTGCTGGTTGTGGAATACAATGTACTAGCAGTGCATGCTATGCCTACATGTCATGTTTGTTTCTGGTGCTCGTTACCCGACTGGGCTATTGTTCCCGGCATACAGCATCACAGCTTATCACATGTTGTGCATGCCAAATGTTTGCCACTAAGAAAGTGGTGCACATCATGCAACTGCATTATAATGTTTGCCAGCTGCTGTTGCCAGCTGCTGCCAGAAAATGTTTGCCAGCGCTTATAATCTACATGTACAAGGCTAGCTGCAGTGTGCCCCAGCTAATCTCTATAGAGTATGGTGACAGGTGACTGTGTTGACATGTGTGCAAGCACTTGGTGGCAGTGCTGTCAGCTGCACCTGCAAGTCTTGGTTGGGTCAGTAGCATGGTGCCACCATGGCTACTACTACTGCTGCTGCTGCTGCTGCTGCTGCTAGCTATGTAGACTGTGTAGTGACACAGTACTACACTACAGCAGAGCCAGTCAAGTGCTTGACTAACCCTGTGCTGGCCTGAAACAGTAGAATGCAGCAGCAGTGGTGGCACTAGCAATGCGTGCAGTCATACTATGTGTATGCATGTGTGTCATGGGATGCTGGGTGTCAGGTCAGACAAACCTACAGCCTTACATGTATTGTATGTGTGTCATGGGATGCTGGGTGTCAGGTCAGACAAACCTACAGCCTTACATGTATTGGACTGTAGTACTGCTCAAGCCCTATGCTCGCTCTAGTGCTCAACGACTGTGTCATGTGATGATGCAGGCGGACCAACAGTGCTGTTCTGTGGTACCGGCCACACTGCAAACCTACCTAACTGTACAAAGTACAATCTGCAAGTGTGTGTGTGTGTGTATGTGTGTGTATGTGTGTGTGTGTGTGTGTGTGTGTGTGTGTGTGTGTGCATGGTGGAAATCATAATGCTCTTGGCAGTTTGGAGTCCGATTGGCGTAGCGCTGTCAGGTGCACATATCGCACGATCCCTAACTTACCATCCAGGTTATCATGCCTGCAAGCAACCCAGGCAGCAGCACAGTCCAGGATTCCCTCAAGATCAAGAAAGTTTCTGTCTTTGTTTCTTCTCTCTGTCATCGTACAAATTTGTTTCTAATTGTGGATTTGGTCAGTTGGGGTGTCGTTCATTTTCAATCAACTCGAGGTCTGCACTTCAAGTCCTGTAGCTACTACTATGGCTTCCTCAGCACCTGCAGATGGGCTTAGCAACCCTGCTGGTGCTACTGCTGCAACTGCTGCTGCTGCTACAAGTGTTGAAACTTCAGGTGCTGTTACTGCAGCTGTTGCTACTTCTACTGCTGCTGCTGCTGCACGCAGGAAGTCTGACTGTGCTTTCTGCATGCAACCTCTAGATGATAGGGCTGGAGCAGGCAAGCTTCTCCGATGTCTGCACCTTGTTTGTATGGATTGTCTTAGTGAACATAGCCACCCAGACAGCACTATTCAGTGTGGAACCTGCTCTGAAATTACAGAATTCCCCTTCCTGCGACCCAGCCTTCTACCAGCAGCCAGCTTATTGACTGCTGCTAGTACTTTGTACAGAGGAGGATCAGGCAAGCCAGTGTTCCTAGCGTGTGATGATTGTGATGTGGATGTAGATCGTGTACATGCTGCATCACACTACTGTAGCAGCTGTGCACTTCACCTCTGCCAGACGTGTGTAGAGGCGCATGGCAAGCGTCGTTCCACTCGCAACCATCAGCTCATTCATCTTAAGACCAGCAGTGGTGGTGGTGATGGTGACTCTGCTGACGACGGAGAATCCAGCGGCATTCTCACGCTATGTCCCATTCATGGCAAGTTCAAGTTGACCTGCTACTGTGCCAAGTGCAATGCTGTCTTCTGTGAGAAGTGCAGTGCTAGTGGAGCTCATCCCGTCGACGATGGTCACACTCAACTGAGTGTGCTGACCGTAGCAAAGACATGCAGAACTCAAGCTATACAAGCGCTCACTGAGGACTCTCCTGGCAGCAGCACCAGCAGCAGCAGCAGTATGAGCAGTGGCTTGGCATCATTAGTGAGAGAAGCACTGGATGAAGTTCGGCTAACCACTGTCGAGGTCGATGAACAAGCCGCCACTGTCTCCGATGAGATCTGTACTTTCTTTGCTGACTTGATCAAGACTTTGAAGGAGAGGCAGGAATTGATCCTCCGAGACTTGGATACGCTGAGAGGTGGTGTATGCGACAATTTGCAGAAAAAGAAGAACTTCCTGCAGATGCATGCTAACTGCTTGAGTTGTGTGAAATCACTACAAGTTTCTCTAGCTCAGCAGCACGTCCCTTGTCAAGATGTCATCACAGTATCTACGTGGATGGGGCAGTGTTGTGATGAAGTTGGTAAAGCTATGCAAACCTACACACCACCTAGCGTGGACGGTGTTGCCATGCTCAAGTTTGAACCAACTCGTATCAGTGAGTTCTCCTTTGCTCTGGCTGACCTTGGGAGAGCCGCCTTGGACACTGTTGTCACCGATTCTCCATCGGATGTAAGTGTGGCTACCGCTGTAGATGAGGCGGACGCGAGGGAGCCACCATTGGAAGCAACCCTGCATCCAGCAGCAACCACATCGGGAACAACAACAACCACAGCGGGAGCAACAACAACCACAGCGGGAGCAGTTGATTCTATGACGGCATCGTCACAATTAGTATCAGCAGATTTGTCAACTTCAGAAGTGTCTGTAGGCCCAGCAACGTTAACGGCAACTACAATGGTGGCCGCACGGTTAGAAACACCAACGGAGGCAATGGCAGCAGCAACATCGGTAGCAGCCTTATGCACAAGCGTTGGTTCCTCGATACAGTTTAGCCGCAGTCTCTCCTATCCGCGTGATATTGTGTTCAGTGAGAATATGACGATTGCATCACCTGCGTGCGATGAGAAGGTGCATGTGGTAGTATGCCAGCCTCTAGTGCATACTTCACTCAACTGCCGTCTCAAGTTCTCCGGTATTCGCCAACACCCCAGTAACTATGTCTACGTTGGTGTATTGGCTGAGGAGGAGCTTGAGCAGGCACGTGATCTCAGCAGATGTCCTGAGCAGTGTAGCTGCTTTACCTCACATCCTGATAAACCCACGTTTGGCGAGGCTAGGATCGTGAAGCAATTCTACGCTGGCTGGAACGATGGTGACGTTCTGCAAGTCACGATGCACAACGTCGACCAATCCCTGCGTGTGGTGAATTTGTCAAGAAACGGTGATGAAGGCTACATGACACACGCCTGGATGCAAGGATCAGCTGCACGTCTCTTTGTGGCACTCTATAGACGGGGACACTCTGTTGAAGTATTGTGAATACTGTAGTCACACTTAGGTCGTACGCTGGCCATCCATTATATTTCTGTCCGTCTGTCTGTCTGTCATTCTGAAGAAGATCTCTGGTCGAAAGTTCGAAACGTTAACAGTTGTCTGTATCAAGTCTTGCTCCTATTGTGTGGTTCGGTTGTCTACTGTTGTCTGTCTGTCTGTCTGCCTGTCTGTCTGTCTATATATCTATGGTATCTCACAGAACCATTGTTCTACTGCACTCTTTGCTAATTTATCTCTCTCCAGCTGGAGCTTTCCTGGTCCGATCATGTATAGTGACTGCTATATTCTTCTTTTTGCAAGTCTCGATGTTGAGAGCTATTCATCAGTTTGAGAGTGCTGATTTTTTAGTTGAACACAGACATACAATGTAGATGTGTTTGGCTAAGAATCTCAGCTGCTACTGCTGCTGGAATGGCCACTACTCTTTCCTGTGGGCCTTTGGTTGTGGTGGCTACTGCTCTAATACCCCGGGGGAAGGCTATAAGCTCTCCAAGGATTTTTGGCTCCGAATGCCACTGGGAGTTGGCACCATCAACATATGCGCATATATCCCTTCACGCGTACGTGCATGCAAACACAGACACAGACACACACACACACCACACCACACACACACACACACACACCACACACACACACACACACACACACACGCACCTTGACCTTGACCTTGATACACGTTGCCTTGATAGGTGACACAGTCCCAGTCAGGGGAGAGGGGTGGAAGAGGCTGATGAGCAGCACTTCTGATGGCGCACTAGGTGGTGACGTAGTCGGAACTTCGTGTGGCATGGGCACTCGAATGGGAAGTCGGCCCATTCCGACACTGTCCTGCGTTTCGTGCGGTCACACTTGTGTCTGGCCAAGCCGCTGCTGGACTTGAACCTGCGGTGACAGGTGCTGCACTGCGGAGTGACTGGGTTGCCGAGGTGCTCGGTGTTGGGAGCAGGTCCGTGGCACAGGCTGGGTGTTGGGAGCAGGTCCGTGGCACAGGCTGGGTGACAATAATGTATGTATATGTAGTGATGCATATGGGTAGGTTAAGCTTGAACCCATGTGTGTTTGTCATGTGCTTGCCGTCTACAGCTCTGCATCGCACAGTGAACAGCTACTGCTCTCCACGTGGGCAGCTGCGTTTGTCATTGTAGAGCGCTACTCACATGAGCTGAAGGACAACACCTTTGTCAGCCGTCTTGTTCAGGTAATCTATCTTTACCTGTGCTTGACCATGTATCACAGTACTTCACGTAATGTTATACTTATCCCTGTGGCAGGTCATGTATCACAGTACATGTAATGTTATACTTATCCCTGTGGCAGGTCATGTATCACAGTACAAGTAATGTTATACTTATCCCTGTGGCAGGTCATGTATCACAGTACACGTAATGTTATACTTATCCCTGTGGCAGGTCATGTATCACAGTACACGTAATGTTATACTTATCCCTGTGGCAGGTCATGTATCACAGTACACGTAATGTTATACTTATCCCTGTGGCAGGTCATGTATCACAGTACACGTAATGTTATACTTATCCCTGTGGCAGGTCATGTATCACAGTACATGTAATGTTATACTTATCCCTGTGGCAGGTTATGGGAAGAAAAATTGCGAAAAAGCCTTTGCTTGGGGATTGATCCTACTCCCTTGCCTTTGTGTGGACATTTTCATCTCATAAATGGTACAATATTGGCAGGATTGCTGAGTCTTGTCATAGTCTGTGGTGTATGATATATTTGTGCCACGTGAACCTGAAGGTGCATGCTCCGCATCCGAATGCCTGCTGCATTCCAGAGCATGTGATGCATTCTGTCATGTTATAATTTATTCTTTGGCTGTTGTCGTTTTCAGCCTGCCCACCCACTTCATTTCCTTCAATAGCCTCTTCTCCTCTTTTTCCTATATACCAGCTCTATGATGTATTTTGCTGTGGCGTACGCGTCCTGATTTTCTAAACCTGGCCCAGTTTCTAACTCCCTATTTTTTTACTTTTCCAGCCTCGAATGCGGCAATGTAGAATTGCACGGGTCACACAATGCAGGATGAACTATTGTTTTCCACTGTACCTAGTACTATATGTGCGAGACACCAAAAAGTCGGGGTGCAAGTTTTGGATGCACTGTATAGTACTGTGATTATCCACATCAGGCTCTCATCTCTCTACTCATTCGTTTTGACGGAATACAAATACAATGAAGGGGGGGGGGGTCAACCTCGCTTGCCAGGCTCATCCTGTTCATAGTTTCTGTAGCCCACTCACTGTAAAGATGCAGCAGCGTTCTACTCTGCAGCCAAACCCAAAATACAACAGCTCTGCTGAGCTTCCCCATACCACTGAGCTAAGGAAATAACAGTTGTATTGACGATCCTCCCCTATTCCCAACTCAGTCGTTTTCTGTGCTGCTGCTGCTGCTGCTGCTGCTGTCTGGATGCTTATGTGAGTGTTAACCAGCTAAAATAATGTTAATGTTGTTGTTTGTTTTCACTGCCACTGTTGTTACCTGTGTGTGTGTGTGTGTGTGTGTGTGTGTGTGTGTGTGTGTGTGTGTGTGTGTGTGTGCGTGCGTGCGTGTGTGTGCATGCACATGTGTACTTGTATATGTGTGTGCATGCACATGTGTGCTTGTTGTGTATTGCGTATTGCGTGTTTGTGGACAGGCTGCTATCAAGGTAGTGCTGGACTGTTCAGAGTCAGTTACACCGTCGGTTCACCACTGTATACTGCAAGGCTTGCAACGTCTTCTACTGTCTTTCAGTCTGGCCAAGCAAGACTCTCAAGCTGTCATGCAACTTGCTATCAAACGGTTAGTCTTGTGATCCACCTGAGACGGGAAGAAACAAAGGAAAACGGAGAAACAATGTGAAAAGAGCAAAAGAAAAGAAAGGTTGAGAAAGTGAGGGAAGGGGGGAGGGGGAGGGGAGGGGAGAGGAGGGAGTGGGAGTGGGAGGGGAAGTGAGGAAGGAAGCCGCTCTTGCCTGCTGTAGGTCCTCATTGGCTATGCTTCATCTTACTGATATAGTGGTTAGTGTTGTTTGGGTGGGCTGGGTGCATTCACAAATTTCTGCTCATGTGTACAATCTGGCTTCCGCACACGTGTATTCATGTGTGTGTGTGTGTGTGTGTGCGTGCATGCGTGCGTGCGTGTGTGTGTGTGTGTGTGTGTGTGTGTGTGTGTGTGTGTGTGTGTGTGTGTGTGTGTGTGTGTGTGTGGTGTTCGGGCGTGTGTGTATGTGCGTGCGTGTGTGTGTGTTCGTGTGTGTGTGGGTGTGCGTGAGTGTGTGTGTGTGCGCATGTGTGTGTTTGGGCATGCACATGTTTGATCATGTACTCAACCGCGCTCTCTGACTCATGTTATGCCCACTGCAGGTTGAACATGTCGCATAGTCAGTGTGTGGCTTCTGCACTCAGCCTACTATTGACATGCATGTACACAGGTAAGGCACCTGTATAGAATTCTGTTAGGCAATGAAGAAATGTTACCCCCAGTTGGCATATCTGGCCATTTGTCTTTATCCATCATTCTGCTGATGTATGCCTTGTATGCTTTATCAAAAAACACCAAGACTAGTGGTAATTCCAGGCGTGGTAGTTCATTTCGTACACATTTTTTCGGTGTATGTGGTGACCAGAAGCTAACTAACAAGCAGAGAGTTGTGAGAGTACATGGCATACAAACTCGGACGATGTGTGCCTCAAAATTCCTGGGGAAGAACCTGGGTTCAATCGCGTAAACCACGGAATGTGCTGACTTTTGAAGTTTTTAGAGATACAGTCAGACCTCGCTTATCCGGTCCTTTTTTATCCGGATCCCTCGCCATCCGGAAGAAAGTCGTTGGTTACCAATTTACAGCATATGTCATGCATACATACAGCATGCATGTTCGATTATCCGGTTCCCTCGCCTATCCGGATATTTTTGTGGAAAACGGATGTGTGCGTTATGCGAGGTCCGACTGTACGTTGACCCCAAGAGTACAAATCACTGTCACAAAGCAGGGGCGTAGCACCCGCTACGACTGGTACGACCATGGCCGTACCACTTTTCGAAAAGTGTGGTCCGTCCGGAACGTGCAAAACCGTAATAAAAAAAATCAGGATCCATCGATGCATATGCGCATCAGACTTTGACCGTTTTCTACTGTAGACTCGTACTCGTAGATCTGCCATGCATCTGCAGTCGTACTGAGTACTAGTTGTACTCGACTCGACTGCACACTGAACAGTCCCAGAACGCAGGATTTTGTGTCTTTTTTGCAAAATTTTCCAGGGGGAGGTCCCCGGACCTCGCTCCAACACGGCCTTCAGCCGCACCGACCTTTGGTCGTACCACTTCCAACACCCCTCCTACGCCCCTGCAAAGTGTCAATATGACAACGTATCTCCAACAAGAGAAGAAGAAAAGAGAACCCTCCTGTGACAGTGACGGCAAAGACCTGAAAAAGAGTCTTGCCCAATTGTGCTGTGGTAACGGTAGTCGGTTAGTATTGTGATAATTTTTAAAATATGGTCTCCTCCACCTTCTGTTCGGTGCTTTTAGGCAAGGACATTGACCGTCTCATTGGTGTTAGTTTGGACTCAGTGGAGACGGAGGAGGAGATGATGGCGCTGCGAGATGCAGCTTTTGTTTCGCTGGAGAAGGTCACCATCTTGTTTGACAGGATGAGGAAGAGCTTTGCATGCGATGCAAAGATGGTAGCGTCAGTGGTACCACTGTTGCTTGAAGACTTTGTAGATACTACCCAAGCTATGAATAAGATGGTGTCAGAAGTCTTGACTCAACATCAACCACATCCGGTTATCCTTGCTGTTATCATGGCTCAGGTAAGCTGGAGAGAGAGAGAGAGAGAGAGAGAGAGAGAGAGAGAGAGAGAGAGAGAGAGAGAGAGAGAGAGAGAGAGAGAGAGAGAGAGAGAGAGAGAGAGAGAGAGAGAGAGAGAGAGAGAGAGTTATAATTCATATTCGAATACAGTCCGTTATTTGAGCAGTCTACTCTGTTGGAGTAAATCTAGTAAATCTTCACTTTTCATTGGCCCTCGACAGATATCTTGACTAATTTGATGTCTGGTGAAGTTGAAACCCATGGGAGATTCATTCCTGATATCATCATAATATTGGTCATCCCCATCGGCGTTGCTCTATTTCTGTATGTGTACATGCATATTTTTTCCTGCATTTGTGTGTGTATGTGTGCATACTTGTTTGTGTGTGCGTGTGTGTGTGTGTGTGTCTATTTCGTTTTGTTAGGCATTTGACACACTCCGTCGTCGTGGCCTGTTCCATGAGATCCGAGATTGGGTTATCTTATCACTGGGTAGCTTTATACAAAGGTTAGTGTACAGTGTAGTAGTGTTGACTGCTAGGTCGGTGCACTGGGCTACTGGTAGAATCTAGTGTAGTAGTGTTGACTGCTAGGTCGGTGCATTGGGCTACTGGTAGAATCTAGTGTAGTAGTGTTGACTGCTAGGCCGGTGCACTGGGCTACTGGTAGAATCTGTGGACAAGGAATAGTCAAGAAAGTGTCTGCTCCGAACGTTGGAGCTCGCACTTCCTGCCGACTGACTTGATACTTGACTGACTCACGACTGCGTCTGAAGCGTGAAGGAAGCGTGAGCTCCGACGTTCGAAGCAGACACTTTCTTCACAAATTACCGTCGATGTCGCAATATCTTCGCTCGTAAGGAATAGTCATTTGAACTATTAGGGTATACTGCACCTCCTGGCTTTACGTGTTAGGAGCGAGTGCTAGTGCTACTAGCACGAGTCCATAACACCAAGAGTGTGCAACTGGGGTCTGGCTGCTGCAGGCCCACTGCGCGGCGGAATTCCAGCATTACGTCATGCTGCTGAGGCACAGAGGACAAAACTCCGCATATCGCGGTGCTTGGAACCAGGGAGTACTACAAGCGCAACGAACGTGTACGTCATTTTTGACGTAATGTTGGAATTCCGCCGCGCAGATCCCCATGTACAGAGTTGCACACTCTTGGGGTTATGGACTCTTGCTACTAGTATTTCACTGCTGTTGGGATTGATAATGAGTACTCGTATGTCCCCCTTCACAGCACTGGAGCCGTGTCCTTTCCTGGGGTCTAGTGCAACGCTGGTGTATGAAAGCTATCCTGTTTGGAAGCAGTGTTTATGCTAGATCCTGATAGGTCTGGTATCCAGTTTGAGACAGCACATGCATTGCATGTACAGTGCACTGTGACAATGTACAGTGTACTGTGACAATGAAGATGAAGCTGTTGTGCACATGCATGCCTGTGTGTTTAGTCTATGATCAGCACAGGTTATGGTAGTGCTGAGTGTTCACCAGTCATCCTGTGATATGTCTTTGTCTACTAGTACGTAACATGGTGTGCGTGTGTGTGTGTGTGTGTGTGTGTGTGTGTGTGTGTGTGTGTATGCGTGCATTATTCATGTTGTTTTGTTCATGCGTATGCATGTGTGTCACTTTGCGTGTGTGTGTGTGTGTTTGCATGTTTGGTTTTGTCATGGTTTTGATCTGCAGGTCCCCAGTGGAGACAGCCATCTGGAGTTTGTCCTGCTTATTTGTCAGTGCTGCCAACACGCAGTTTGTCTACAGCCTGTATCCTCAAGTTCTTAGCATATGGTCCACTGAACCTCTGGCTAGACTGTGATAAGATGAGCATGGCAGTGTTTAGTGCATGTCTGTACATGTATGTGTACATATACAAAAGAAGCATATTATCAATGGTAGGAAACACTTTGGCCCTTGGCCCCTCTAGAGTTGTAGAGTGTAACTACCAGTTTGAATGTACTTCTTGACCTACATGTTGGTACATGTTTCTCTCTGTCACTCTGTCACTATGCCTCCACCCCGAATCCTACTGATTGTCCTGTGTGTAGTTACTGAAGACGTGTTAGAAGCGTTTTGCTGTCATTCCGGTCTGCTGTAAAAGCCTGTAGGGGTTGTGATTATACCCCCCCCCCCCTCTCTCGCGTCACCCATGGACCTGGTTATGATATTGCTGAAAGTTCCTTGACTATCTGTCTCACTTAGCTTTCCGTACTTGTTGGGTCGTCTTGGTTGTGTGCAAGCTGATGACCGCAAGGTGTTCCTCATGGCTGCTGTTGACTTCTACTCCAACCAGGTGAGATCTGCTGCTCACCAGCTTGCAGCTGGCCTGGAGTTGTCTTTTCTTTATCTTAAGTGGCTACATGTCAAGGCTGATATTTGAGTTCAAGCTTTGGAGTATATGCATGCACATGCCTGCATGCATGCATGTTTGTGTATGTGTGTACGTGTGTGCGTGCGCGCGAATTGCTCCCTTTGAGCTGTAGGTATACCTGTGTTCCTGTAAAGGTAGGTGAATGCCATATACATATCAGTATGATGTAAGTTTGTCCTACTGGTGTTTGTGAATGGGCCTGCTTTTTCTCTAGAATCTGCTGGATGAGCAGCGAAGTATCTTCAAGGAAGCTTTTCAACTCCACTCGCCCAAATCATCTGTCTACTCCGAGTTGCTTGAAGAGCTGTCAGTATTAGTGAAGTAGTCACTGCTGTTAGCATTGGCGAGGCAGTCACTCTTTTGATTTCCGGGCTGAAACCCTGTTGCACTGGCTCGACTGCAGATGCCTGGGATTCTTGCAACTGCAACGCAGCGACATTGTTAGCTTTTATTGCTTTTTACCTGCTGGCTCAGGGTTCTTGTTTGTTTGGTATGTTTTTGCTATTTTTGAATTTTGACAAGCTTTGGAATGAGCTCTAGCTCTGATCTTGCAGATTGGAATTACATCTGACTATTTACCTGCATAAAAATTCTTCATGGAACACATCTCCTGTTTTCCCACAAGATTTATTTTCAATCCCCTTTACCCGTTTCATGTAGTACGCGCATGATCTGTGTTGAATGTGTGTCTTCATGTCCGTAATAGGTAGGACCACTGCTGCACAGCCCAGCCTGTACTGTGACAATGATTGGTGGTGTATTGGACCGCCAGGCCAAACCACCGTGCTGTGCTCAATTAGCTCACTTGGCTGTTTGCGATTGCTGCCAATCCTTCAAGCATGACACTTTATTTTACTATTATTCCGCTGAACCTAGTTTATTTTCAAAGTTTAAAAGTGACTAAGTGATTTTCTTGACACTTCATGCACTTCATACAGCATAGTCCACTTTGTCTGAATACATGTAGTATTCGAGTTCTTCTTCAGTGAGAGATAAGCGGCACTTCTAAGCAATGCTTCACCATAGCAACGGTAATTTGAAGAATCTGTTCTTCCAGCGAGTTCGCATGAAATTCCGGAAACACGTCAACACAAGAAAAACACGCTATGCCGGTCCAGTGAGAAACACAAAGCCTAACAAAAGTATCAAGTCAACTTGCGATAGTTCTAGCTCAAGGTCTACTGCGGTGTATGATGAAATCTAATAGGAGTACCTGCCTCCATAATGTAGTAAATATATCCTTGTACAATTGGCAGGTCTCTTGACAAAATTAATACTGCACGCTCTTCTTCCCTTTGAAGGGAGTGGAGGGATGCTGTGTCCACTAGAAAACATCCCAGAGAGAGAGAGAGAGAGAGAGAGAGAGAGAGAGAGAGAGAGAGAGAGAGAGAGAGAGAGAGAGAGAGAGAGAGAGAGAGAGAGAGAGAGAGAGAGAGAGAGAGAGAAAGTAAGTTACATTTATAAAGACAGGTAAGTCTAACAAATGAGGACTGAGACCTCTACAAGAGAGAGAGAGAAAGAGAGGGAGGGAGGGAGGGAGGGAGGGAGAGAGAGAGAGAGAGAGAGAGAGAGAGAATGTGTGTGTGTGTGTGTGTGTGTGCGCACGCACATGTGTAAACTGGAAGTAATTTTAGCAACCTACTCTATCATTATCTAGCTACGATATTGTGATAATGATAATAGGGTAGACCGCTACTGAGACATTGTGTAATGTACTTCGAAGTAGCAAGATCTTCCAGGCCATTCTTTACAATCATACTAATCTAGAACGAGGCCAGCACAAAGACAATGTGCCAGTGACAACACGTGCATCATTCTGTTCCATTATACTACTTCTACTTGCAGTCTTCCTATTGGTCCTATATCATGCGGCATCCTCCAGCCTATTCATTCTTTTCATTGCCACCATTAGTGTCTGGTATCAGATCACGTGCACTGTGCAGAGATGTGAGGACAAAGTGCCGTTCGTACTGAATGCTCTTGCGGAATACTAGATCGGTGCCGTGGATCCAGTCCATGAACCCAACGAATCCATAGTTCCCGACAAACCTGGAGGCAAAGAACAGCACACAAATTGTTCTGGGCACTTTTGTGAAAAATGACACTGGGTTTGGGATACATGAAAAATGTTGGTGTTTCATACTCTCAATCATTAGTACATGCTACATAATATGGACTACACAACACAGGCAAGCCCATACTTGCACTTGCACTGCAATCAAACTGACCAGATTGCCACAATAGAAGTATACCACTGGTACTGACTGCCATAAGCTGGTGTAAAGATTCAACACAAAGCAGCTCTGTCGGATCACTGAGATGACATTGTATGTTCCCTCAATCAACTCCATCAACTCACTATGATAATGCCGTATATTGGGGAGGCTATACCGTTATTTGCTGTAGTTATAGTCATGGACTTACATGGCATGATGGTAATCATGGCGTTCGTTGGAGAAGACGAATGGGAAGTGAAATCCACAGTGATCCATTGTCGTGTAGATCAACGCCCAGATTTCCCAAATCACGATGACTGACAGGTGTGAGCCCATCAGCATTGGTCCAGCCAGAGTTGGCAAAGAACCGGACAGGAAGAACTCAATGGGATGTACATACATGCTGGACAGTCCGATGGGCGCTTGAAACTCATGATGCATCTTGTGAATGCGCTGGTACAGGTAAGGAATGTGCAGCAACCTGGGAAACAAAACCGACAAGCATGCATGCACAATTGCACATGTACACACCACATATGCATACATTCCGATACAATGCATCTGAATTCGAAGCTCCATACACCGTATTTATATTCATGATATTCCATGCTCTGCAGTGTACCTGGAACAGTAGTGTAGTAGACAGACTTCCCCCGACACACAACACTATCTAGTATGTATTGCACAATTCATTGTTGGCCCCATCAGGTCCCTTGTTATCTACATTAGATTTAGATAATAAATTAATCATGTCTTGACTAGTTTGAGGGAAAGACACAAACGGGAAAAGTCTGAAGAAAAAACTGACATACATTATGTATCTGTATTCTTCTTTCCAGTTGCTTGCGATAGGCCATGAAACACAGACTGGATATCAACTGTTCAAACTCGTGTTCAGGCAACTCAATCTGATTGCTATGCATATAATTATAGTTGGCCTCATTCATGTGTGGCAACGACATGCAAATACCGACCGACCATTTACATCCAAACTAGGCTAGATTTGACAACACACAGTGGATTTTCAACTTCCGATGATGCATAATGACAACTCTCTCAAACACTAGCCAGTAGCAGTGCTACTCTCATCGCCAAGTGGAGTCATGGCAGTGACCGAGGAGGGTTCGATGATGGTTATTATATTGCAGCTCGAGCTGGTCTCGCCGGTCTCACCTGTGTGTGTAGTAAAAGAACACCTCTTGAGCCAATAGGAATACTAGCAAGTGGATCAGCCCTGTGGATACTGCAGGTAGCTGATAGCCAGCACTACAGCCGCGCCATAGCAGGAGAGGGTAGAACACTAGGTTCCCGATAAACCCCATGACCGTTAGATTGAACACAGCAACAGCCACACATTTCTTGAGGCGATCCGCAGGAATCTGTGAGAGGAAAAATCATAGTATCACATGCAGGAAACACAAAGGAAACACAAACTGCCATTGTCCACATGAAGAATTCCATGATAATACTTTAGACTAGTACCGGCAGCCTGCATGTATGTGTGTATGTGTGTTTGTAACGGGCGGTTGCTGGTATGACTGTTGGTCACTCTGTGATGCCCAACTGGCGGGTTTTCAAGTCTGAGTGTCCTTACGGGTACTGGTTTCGTTGACTGGATCTTGTACTTGAGTAGCTGACTTGGTGCCGCAGTCGCCTCAAGGGTTGCCAGGAATGCGTTCAGTAACCAGAAGACAAGGAACGGCAGTATTCCACTAACTGAAAACACCGGCGAGCACACGCGCAGACACAGACACAGACACACACACACACACACACACACACACACACACACATACACACATACACACACACACACACACACACACATGCCCAAACAGACACACACACACAATCATGCTGATTCATGCATACACATACATGCACACCTTTGATATTACTTCGGAAGTAATTTGTTGACCTTTGACGCCCATCGCCGGAGGCTATGATAGCAATGCTACGGCACCCTGGCTCCCCTTTTTTACTCCATCAGATCGGTATCATCTTTCCATTTTCCACCCTCTACACAAATGTACTCCCCCCCCCCCCCCCTCCCCTGTGCCTACTCCTCCTCACTTTCTGGTGCACTGAAGTGTCGCTGAAGCCGAGACCTCAGGTCCCCAGAGATGCTCCAGTTTCACTACCACAGTTGCGCCTGCAGCCACCTCTATCATGCAGTATTCTGTTCTCGAGGTTCGTGGTTTCTCGTTAAAAAATGAAGCAGAACCTATAGCAACTTGTGCTGGAATTGCACCATTCAACACTGAGCATGCAAGGCTGAAGAATTGACTGCCACTTTTCTGGTCTACACCACACAGCTATCATATTTTTGAAGTGGCTTTTTCTGATCAGCGAATCCCGATTTTTTTTATCTTTTTCACATTTTTCCCCACACACACAGCACACCACATACTCCGGCATGCACCGGTTGTTGGTAACCACCCAGGAGAATGAAAGAAAAGTCAGCAGGAGTCTGAGAAAGAGAAGATGTGTGTGTGTGTGTGCGTGTGTTGTTGTTGTTGTGTGTGTGTGTGTGTGTGTGTGTGTGTGTGTGTGTGTGTGTGTGTGTGTGTGTGTGTGTGTGTGTGTGTGTGTGTGTGTGTGTGTGTGTGTGTGTGTGGCCATAATCGTCGGGAATCGAACCCACAACCTCTCAATTGGAAATCGACTGCTGCAAGCAGGGATAAGTCCAAAATGCACACAAGTACTGTCATTCACGCACATTTACCATTAATTTTTATTATGGCCAATATCCCCCAAATTTCTAATATCTTCCCAAATCAGTGTCCAATATGAACATGTTCTGGAGATTTCGATATTTCGCGCAAAAATTGCCAGGAAATTTGAGCTGACCCTAGCGATATCGTCATGAACTTCAAGACCGAATTTCAGAAGATAACTACATGACTGTCTGTACATGACTCACTGTACTGGTGATCTGCAACTCGCCGCATAAAACGTATTGCAGATTAGATCGGTTGTCTGCCGGACTCTTACCAGAGAATGCTGTATAGTCATCCTCTCCACACCACCGATAGAACGTGGACCAGGCGTCTGCCACATCACTAAGGTTCTGACCCGCCACATGCACGGTCATGGACTCACGTACCGATTGATGTAGCTTGTCCATTGACTCGCCGAAGATTGTTGATCTCTTCGCACTATTTTGATGGAGGTTTGGGCGGCCGAGATCTTTATTATAACCAGAGTTCGGTTACAAGCATAATTATTAATTTTGCAGTTGTAGTCCGTGCATTTGCCAGTACAATCCTAAACGTTATCTTCATTACAGATTCAACAGCTATATTCTTCCGTTCTCCGGATCACTTTGTCCAAAGCGAAAAGTCTGTTGTTGACGAACCCTGTTTCTTTCAGTTTTGTAGATACCGGCATCATGACACGCTTCTTTGACAGACAGTACTGAGTCTGTACATGTACCAATTACCATGGTATACCAGGTATACATGCATACAGACAAGTCTCACCAGGCGGTAACCATGGTAACATACCGCTGTAGATCTACCAGAGCTGTAAATTAATGTATAGAGATCATGAAGAATTATATATTTTGAAGATACAAAAAACGAAAGAAGATAAGAAAGAGTAAGTCCATCAGCTAGTAATAGTATGCTAGTCTGTGGTGTAGATCTACACGTCGACAGCCGTCCCACAAGCTAGTTACATGTAGTTTGCTCGAGGAGGTACTGGGAGTTGGACACTGCTACCTTGAACTTGAACTTGAGGCGCTGCAGCGCTGCCTTGGATGGGGGAGCGTTCAGGATGGCAGAGGGTAGAGCATTCCATGTTGTTAGTAGGCCGAACGGGAAGGATCGGTGTAGGATGTCAGGACTTGTTGCGGGGAGGGGGTTTGACAACTGGAAGGCATGGGAGTGTTTCACTTGATGTTGGTGGCGGGTTCTGGGGCGGGCGGGCTCAGGGGCAGCAGGTGGCAGCATGTCTGTCAGCTGGGCTGGACCGGAAATGTACTGCAGCTTGAACAGGTGGCAGAGTCCCGAGACTTGCGGGCGAGACTTGCCGACGCACTGAAAAGCTTGGGAGCATGGTCTCAGCGCCAATGCTGCGCATACACCGTTGCTGGATGCGGTCAAGCTTCGCGAGGTTGGAACGGGCTGCGCCTTGCCAGACTAGGGGAGCATATTCCGTGGTTGGGCGGATGGAGCCTTTGTATACGCTGAGGCGGCCGTTGCGGTCGAGTATTGGGCACACCTTTCTGAAGAAGCCAAGGCGCTGCCTGGTTCTGACTGCAACGTGGTGGAGATGGTTGCGGAACAGCAGTTTGTGGTCGAAGGACACACCGAGAAGCTTTTAAAACATCGGTTACCTCTCTGATCGTGGTACCTAAGCTGAAAGAAGAGGGTGGGAGGGGTGTTGATCGTCTGCTCATCGACATTCCCTGGCACTTTGTCGACTCAAGCTGAACCTTCCATCTCGATCCCCAAGCTTAGAGCTCATCGAGGGAGGCTTGCAGTGAGTTAAAAGTGGCGGGGACACATCATCAGCACGAATCAGACAGTAAAGTGTTGTGTCGTCTGCGTACGACGCTAGCTGATGTCAGAGATGTTGTTGACATAGATAAGGAAGAGCGTTGGTCCCAAGATACTGCCTTGGGGTACACCGGCTTGGATTGGGAAGTGCGAGGAGGTCTGACCACCAACAACAGCCCCTCATCTACCGTTCCTGAAGGTACGAGCGAAGCCAAGACAGAATCACAGTGACCCGCCAATGCCGGACATTTCAGCTTTGTGCAGTATGCCAGTGTGCGAAACTTTATCAAAAGCACCAGCTATGTCGACTGCAACAAGTCGAGCGATTCCATGGCGACCCACTATGGCGGACCACTCATGATGGAGGGCAGTGAAGAGGTCGGCAGTTTCAAGTCCACGGCGGATGCCAAATTGTCTGGGAGATAGGATCATGTGACGTTCTGTAGTTTGTAGAAGATTGACAATTTGCCTGTTGATGATGGTCTCCATAATCTTGGACACAATGCTCAAAAGGAAGACAGGTCGGTAATTTTTCACTGCTGCGTTGGAAGTGTGCTTGTGGATAGGCACGACGTGTGTCGTCTTCCAGGGGTTGGGATGATGCAAGCAGCGTAGACAGCGGGCAAACAGCTTAGTCAGAGGGGGTGCGAACTCTTTCGCACACTCTCGAAGAACCCGTGCTGGGGAGACTATCTGGACCAGTGGCCTTGTTGACTTGGAGCTTGCGGAGCTCCCTCTGAACCTCAGCAGTGCAAAAGCGGATCATGCCCATTGCTGGTGGGTTGTGTAGCTCGGCTCTTGGAAGGTTGGACGGGTCAATGTCATTGTCTCCAAGACTGCATTTCTGTGAGAAGAATTCCTAAAACATTCCGACTTCTCCTTCGCGGCGCGGTGCTTTCTGCTGTTCTCATCAATGAGTGTGGGAATATCAGACTGGTGTCCAAAACCACCTGTAGGCTGTTAATCTTACTCCACCATACCTTGTCTTTGAGGCAGCCAGTTGTAAGCTTAGTGCGAAGTGTTATCTGTTCGGCAGCTTGTGCCCTTGCCATTGTGCGAATATTCTGTGCCACGGCATCGGAATACAATGCAATGTAACTGTTGTGAGCCTGGATTCCGCTGCCACGCCTTCCAAGCACGTTGCTTTGCGGCGACAGCAGCATTGCAATCAGCATTGCATACGACATGAGTGGGTTGCTAACTTGCTATGCACCCACACACTATTAAAGGGGAAGTATACCCTAAAATCAAATTTTCACCAGTTGTAGTCTTCTGGGTGCTGAGTCGAATGGTCGTGGTCCGAGGAAGCTGCGACGCTCCCTTCCTACTTGAATCCCAATCGAACTCGCGCACTTCCACCGAAACTGGGTGACTGCGCCCTACTAGATGGGGATTTGTATGCAAAATGTCACTAAAAGCGCCATTTCGTTCTTATAAAAGCACGGATGACCGCGATTGGCCCATATGTTGTAGTCTTTTGGACGCTGAGTCGACTGGTTTTGGTCCGAAAAGGCTGCGATGCAGCGTTCCTCCTTTATTCCCAATCGAACATGGTTGAACAAGCGGTCACGTGCTCCTGGGTGCCCAAATCACCTGGTCACCGCGCCAGCAGGCGACAACTTTCACACCAAGGTTCAACTCGAGTTCAACTCGAGTGACAGGACTGCACCCAAAAAAGGTCAAACAGGCTAGTAAGTTGTACCCTGCAGGCACGGTGACCAGGTGACTGGTGTACGCAGGAGCACGTGACCGCTTGTTCAACCATGTTCGATTGGGAATAAAGGAGGAACGCTGCATCGCAGCCTTTTCGGACCAAAACCAGTCGACTCAGCGTCCAAAAGACTACAACATATGGGCCAATCGCGGTCATCCGTGCTTTTATAAGAACGATATGGCGCTTTTAGTGACATTTTGCATACAAATCCCCATCTAGTAGGGCGCAGTCACCCAGTTTCGGTGGAAGTGCGCGAGTTCGATTGGGATTCAAGTAGGAAGGGAGCGTCTCAGCTTCCTCGGACCAAGACCATTCGACTCAGCACCCCGAAGACTACAACTGGTGAAAATTTGATTTTAGGGTATACTTCCCCTTTAAAGGGGAAGTTAAGGCAAAAATTAAAATTTCACCAGTGTAGTCTTCGGGGTGCTGAGTCGAATGGTCCTGGTCCGAGGAAGCTGAGACGCTCCCTTCCTACTTGAATCCCAATCGAACTCGCGCACTTCCACCGAAACTGGGTGACTGCGCCCTACTAGATGGGGATTTGTATGCAAAATGTCACTAAAAGCGCCATTTCGTTCTTATAAAAGCACGGATGACCGCGATTGGCCCATATGTTGTAGTCTTTTGGACGCTGAGTCGATTAGTTTTGGTCCGAAAAGGCTGCGATGCAGCGTTCCTCCTTTATTCCCAATCGAACATGGTTGAACAAGCGGTCACGTGCTCCTGGGTGCCCAAATCACCTGGTCACCACGCCAGCAGGCGACAACTTACTTTCACACCAAGGTTCAACTCGAGTTCAACTCGAGTGACAGGACTACACCCAAAAAAGGTCAAACAGGCTAGTAAGTTGTACCCTGCAGGCACGGTGACCAGGTGACTGGTGTACACCTTGCTTTAGTGGATCCAAAAGTAGAAATCTGACGTGAACTTACTACTCCCTGGCCGCTTTGACGTCATCACTTTAAAGCCCTTACCACGTCATTGTTTTTTTTTTTTTTTTTTTTTTTTTTTTTTACTGAGCCTCTTGTACGGGCAAAATAACACATTTTGTGAAGAATCAACACATATAATATAAACGAATCATCATATACAGTATTTACAGAGTCTGTCACTCAGTAGGATCACTGCACTGTGCAGGTTCACTGGATGCGTGCCTCCGCCGCCACTAGCACAGCAGGGGGACTCAGGCATGGCAGGAGCAAACATGCTCCTTGAGCCACGCAGGCACATACTACACACACGACATAGCACCACAACGCACCAGGGCAAACCCAAGGCGGCAGCGCAGCAAGGAGATAACCTGCCCGTATGGCTCCTTACTCTTCTCAGCCAGGAGAGAGGCGATCCGCGTGAAAAGAGCATTGGCATGCTTGCCATAGCCACCAGAGGCAGAGAGCACAACGGGCACGAAGGAGGCATGCTCAACTTCACGTACTCGCTCCTCGTACTTCCGGCGCTTTTCCTGCTCATGGCGTCTGTAGCTAGCAGCGAGGGAGGTGGCACGATTCGAAGACGCAAAAGGGTTGAACACCCGTACATCAATAAAGATGCGCTCGAATCGGCCACCCCACACACCACTAGCCGCAACGTCCAGCCGAGCTTGCTCCTCCGTGACAGCTGTGCGATGGCGGAAGGCCTCTCCGGTGACGGGCTGGAGGTGGGGTTCCACTGTCACGTTGTGAGCGACCTGCCTCAGAGCTCTGGCGGTGATGTCCCTCACCTCGTTGTGTCGCAGCGTCGGGAAGCCACCAAACGGGCACGACAGGGCGTGACTCACATTCAGCGGCTTACTGCACACGCAGAGGCTTGGGAGCCGAGGAGGTGTCCAGCCGTACCGGAGGCACAGGCCATCCCGGAAATCTCCCTTGCTGAGTGTGAAACCATGGCGGCTGAGGGGGCGGCAGGTCAGCCAGCTGGATGCACCCTTTTCTGAGGCCAGGTCGAGAACAGGGGCCAGCTCCCGGTGATCCGAGCGAAGAGCGTCAGCCATAGACTTGAACGCGCTCCGCTTCTCGGCCCGAACTTACCACGTCATTGTAGACTAGTTTTTTTGTACAATAATCAATATCCTACTGTACTGGCTACAGTGCTACACTACACTCTCTATCAGTCTACAGTCCATTCATAAAAAGATGGGTCCTGGCTCTGGCGAGCTCCCGTATTTGGCGATTTTTCGTGATTTCATCGTACACAGTGCAATGCTGCGAACTTTGAAATTTGAAAAAGGGTCCAAAAAGGGTGCCTGAACTGGGGTTCGAACCGCAGAATGCGCGCACTGTTGCAGGCGGGGTCAAACGGCCTGGATTTTGATGGTTTTTCCCAATTCAGTGCTTTTGGGGCAAAACCTGGCCGAAATCCTATTCTTGCTATGGCTTGCTTTTTGGACAAAAAAACTTCAGAAACATAATTGGAAGAGGATTCCATATGGGATTGCAGAAAAAATTCTAAAAAAACTCAACGTTTGACCCATTTATGGCCAAAAGCTAGAAGTTCATTTTTTTCTGAATGGACTGTATGTAGTATCACACTACGCTAGCGGCCTTGCGTATCAACTACTGTATCATCGAGTCAGTACAGTACACAGACTCAGTAGGGACAAGTACATGTCATTGGCACAATCATGACATTGTGTTCTTGTCTAAAACCGCAAAATACCGGCACTTGGCATCACCCCTGACTCACGTGCACCATGCACATACCAATGACGTATACCATGGTATACTAGTACCAGGTACATGATTGTAGTCATGACTGTACATGCATGCCGCGAGGCTTGTTGAGTGGTGAGACTGGTGACTGCACACGACTGTACTAATAAGTGCTGACTAGCATGACTGCAATGACTATGATTCTGAAATGTGATCATGGCAATGACTATGTACATTGTAGTGCTGAGTGCTAGACAGTGTCTACACATACTAAGTAGTGCGAGGACAGATAAGACTGTCATGTCAGTGATAGTGGGCGCACGCGCATACTCGTGCTATAGCATGCTACACAAGTCGTGGACATTGAAATCCGGTCGCACGTCTAGCAGCCCCTGATCATGCCATCGGCCCATCGAACACGAGTCGGCAAGCTGGTTTTCATGATGGGCATGAAGGCATGATCTACACTACATGTACAGTCTACACAGTCACTGTGCGCGCAGTGCACTCTCGATCTCTGCGCTCAGTGCGCTGCAGCCAATCATGCGAAAAATTTAAATGGTGCACGTGTACGTGTAGAGTCTACATGCGAGGATCACGTGCACATGCCTTTTCCATCGCATAGCGCCTACGCAACCGACTGCGCAGATCACACTTTTTCTGGACGCACCCACAAAGGGCCACATGCCAGCTCTAGTCTAGTACTTGTACATGTAGTCTACTAGTAGATCTACATGACTGTACTCATCTGCATGCTGCATGTTGCTATCTAGACTAGAATCTAGTGTAGTGCATGCACTGACTGTCCGTAGTCTGTACTGACCGTAGTCTGTAGATCTAACCCCAAACCCCGTGCGTGCATGCAGATCGCCAGAGCTAGAGACTACAATGTAGAGTGCAGCCTGTGTCACAGGGACACGTAGGTTAGGTACTAGGTCTACAAGTACACCGACAGTGACCGTGTGCATAGCATGCATGTGCATGATCTGAGATTGAGAAGTCGACTCAGTCTTTGCGCTGGTCATTCACAATGAGCACAATGATTGATATGGCCGCACAGCAACGGTGGAAAGAGTAAAGTCAAAGCCATACGATCAACAAACCCGGTTTCGGGGCAGCCTAGCTCTCTTCTCGAGCGTAGTCACCTGCCCGACCTGATCGCCACGATACTGAAGAAACTTCAGGGAAATTTGTATTCGTGAAGTGCATTGTGGCAGCTACGCTCTATCTACCTCTTCACTTCAGCGATACATCTACGAAGTGCGCTAGCCTGTTGTACTTGTAAGTTGTAGTGTTTTACTCAATGTAAAGAGAATAGTGTGCCCCTCGCAGCAGTGCCAGTGGCGAAGCAGCAGCAGCAGCAGCAGCAGCAGCAGCAGCAGCAGCAGCAGCAGCGCGAAGTCTGATATTTGAAGCAGTACCAGTGGTGTGGAAGTCCAGTGCCAGTGGCCTACTCTGGAGGATTTCTAATCGGACTAAAAGATCCTTTGTTGTGTGCACCGACGTTGTGGATTTCTCTTCATTGTTGATCCCGTTTCATTCTCCACTTCATTGTCCACCTACGTCTTGTCTGGCCTGCAAGTCACACTCACAGCAAGGAGGTCAGGTGAGCTCTACACTATGTACTATGAAGTATGATGCAGGTTTCCCCCTGAGCTGTACTGTGGTAATATTTTGCAATTTCACATGTCCCAGTGTGGTGAGTTGCGGAAATGGACCCACATGGACATGCGTAGATCTACGCACGACTGACGACGCTTGTGCGCGGTGACCCTATTATTACTACGCAACGCGTTGCTCACAGCAGTCCTGTTTTCTCATTTGCTTTCTCTGTTCTGTTCTGACCGCTGTAGTGTAGCTGCTAGAGTTTGTACTGCATCGTGACACGAACAGCACAATGGACAGAGAGAGGCTCGAGGGTGATAGGGTCTCCAAAGAAGAAGCCGCTGCGCTATTATGTACATTTTCGGAGAGTGGAGACCCAAAGGAGGTAAGAATTATGACCCGAGTTCTCTGGATTATGCTAACTACTTTTTGTAATAATTATTGTTTTTAGCTCTGACCACATCGGACCTCGAAGTAGGAAAATTGCGAGCATTTATTCCCCACATTTACAGTGAAGTGCTCGCTCGGTTTTTGATCACAGCACCTGTTCATCGTTCACAGGAGTCCTTCTCTGCTTTCCCTGCACTGTACTGCTGCAGTGGTAGCACGGCGAGGATACATTCCTAAAAGAATTATTATGCCTGTAGATTGTGTTCCATTGTCAGGATCGAAGAAAATTATTTTATTCCATTGTTTTACTTTGAACATGTGCGTAAATGGTGTGTGTAGTGCCTGAGCAGTGAGAGGAAGTGGGGTCAATGACTGCGAGCACGAGTAGGGAAAGTGCGACGAGTAGATCTCAGTGGCACTCGGGGCCATGGCATGGGTGTGTGCGTCGTTATAATTTTAGATCTACCTGTTGCTCACGTCATGACTGACGCTCTAGCTCTGCACCGCGTGCGCGTGTGCAAGTGCTATCTATGTTTTGACTGTGGAAACACTAGTGCTAGTGTATGCGAATCACTCTGCACTACAATCATGTATCTGGCGCTAGCCCATGGCCCAGCTGTGTGAGTGTGATCTGCACGTGATAAAACAAGTCATGCCATGCACCTTCCCAGCCTTGCTTGCTGGGGCTTGTCCTAAAGTCCCTACTTTTGTCTTGAGTTTTGTCTGGACTAAGTAGAGGTAGGGTAGCCATAACTAACACTTGCAGATCCACCTGAGGCTGAGGCTGAGGCACAAGAGCACAGTCATCTGCATGAACCTGCATGCCTGCCCTGGTCACAGGCTGGTGTGGAGGTGTTACCTGCCACACTAGGTTGCACCAGACAATCTAGGCCCCTAAGTCCAACACTTGGGAACAGTGCATTGTCACAGAATCTGTCATCCAAGAGTCAGTACTGTCACTCCACTAAAATCTTCTGCTCTCTGTGATCCAGGCTCGTGGCACCTCTGTTGGAGGTGGTCCTGCCGGAGGGGGGTCGGGGTGTCCCCTGTGAAAAATCTGAAATTAGGGTGCAAAATCCTGCATTATGGGCACTTTTGGCAATGTGTTGAAAAAATGGCCGGACCGACTGCTACGCCCCTGCATCAATCACTGCCATAATTCATGCACAGGAATATTATTGTAGTCCTGAAAATTGGGAAGCAGGTGAGAATGTTTGCTCTTGCCCTCTTCAACTTTCACTGGAGCAGTTATTATTATAGTAGTGCACCGCAGTGGTGGATATTGGATATAGTAGTGTACCGCAGTGGTGGATATTGGATATAGTAGTGTACCGCAGTGGTGGATATTGGATATAGTAGTGTACCGCAGTGGTGGATATTGGATATAGTAGTGCACCGCAGTGGTGGATATTGGATATAGTAGTGTACCGCAGTGGTGGATATTGGATAATAGTAGTGGACCGCAGTGGTGGATATTGGATATAGTAGTGTACATGGGTGTAGTACCCGTACTTATTCTAAGGTGTGGGATTGCATGAAAATGTGTGTATCTTGCCGCGATGATAGATTCCACACTTAGCTGCACGCAAGTCACAAGAATTTCGTTCTCACGGCATTGCCTTGCGCCGCGTCTACCGCTATGAGTTTGGTGTTTGGGTACTAACAAAACACTAGTATGTGTCCTGAGATGCAGGAAAGTAGTTCTTTGCCTGCATTTTTGACAATCATTGCATTGTGTTTCTTCTTCGCATTGGGATTGTGTTAATTTTAACACACCATCCCTTACTCCTTGTATCCATTGTTGCTGTTCTTGCTGATGAAAGGTGCGGGTGTTGTTTTGTCTCCTCTATTTTGAGCCTTGCTTTGCCACCCGGTTACAAAAGAGTGAGATGTGTAGCATGTTGCAGTCTACATGAAATGTTCTTGCAAGTCTGATAGGCACAGTAGTACTTGTGCGGAGACAGAAACCACTGGAGTTGCTTCATTTTCTGTTCTGTTTTGTGTGTCAGGGATACGTTGTGTCTCAACAAGTACCTACGCGTCAGCCGCAGCAGCAGCCACACCGGAAGTCTAGTTTTGATGTAGAGAGGCCTCAGCACTATCAGGCTCAACAGCTCAACACTGCCACTAGCTCTCGAAAGACTACAGGCATGGTTTCAGGTGCACCTCTTAGACCGAATATGCCTCATAGCCATGGCATGCCGGCTAGCGTGGAGCCGGTCGGTCATGCTCGACAAGCCCAAACTGCGGCAGCACCAGTCCAGCTGCAGTATAGGTTTTCTACCTCGCATACGAGAGCATCTAGTGCAAGCAAGTCTCGAAGAGGAGACGATGCTGAAGGAGAGCCTAAACCGAAGCGACGTTCTGCTCAGCAGAAGGCCAGCACAAGGCCAGCTACTAGTGAAATGTAAGGAGTTGTGAGCTGACAAGGGTAATTAAGGATATACCAGATGCTTGTCCGGGCTAATACTGATTTTATTTTATAAAACCATTTGCTGCATTCTGAGATGGAACAGCCGATTTACCTTTTTCTGTGTTGTAAAGTGTAAGCTTGTGGTATATTTGCTGCCTATAGCTTGTCAGGGTTCACCAGGTGCTAGTGGCCGTCGTGAGTTCCCTTTGGGAACGGACACGATAATTTACTCTTTTTTTTTAGCTAGTCTGGGTAGCATTCCAAACGACTGAACTTGCCCAACATGTTGCAACCTTCTACCTCTGGCAATGGTCTATCCTGCGAACATGCTTATGCACTGAAATAACATGTGCCGTCCAGTGTGCCATTGTACACTTCTTTGCAGGCTACCTTTCCAGACCAGGCAGGTACAATTGGTTGGTCTAGGACCGTTGTTAAGAAGCTAGAGGTACCTCATTCAGTCCTGCCTGAGAGTTTTTCCATCCGTACCCACCCACAGTCAATTCAAAAGCAAAGGACTTTAACAACAGTGAGCGTGTGAAAGAGTTTAGCTTGGAACATAGCATGCGCTTTTCTCACTTTTTTATAACCTTTCCAAGCCACTTTGACTTGCCACTGTTTTTGTCTGTTCTCCATCAGGTCCTACACATATGCTCAAGCACCTACCACTGTGCAGAGTGGTGAGTTTTACTCAGCATTGGGATATTTTAGAATTGTGCATTTTCTCCCATTGTTATCTTTGCCATGACCAATGCTATGGAGATCAGTGCTGTCCAAGTCTTTCTGTGGAAATCACTATTATCCTCTCTTCCCTGACTTTGATTAGACGAGAGAAAGTCGTCATGATCCCCTGGTGCAGGAATCTTGCTTGCAGCCATGCATTGTGCATTTTGTTTACACACAAAACTTGGTAGCATTTCTCATTGTGCATTTTGTTTACACACAAAACTTTGTAGTATTTCTCTAGTCTATAGATCATCTGTTACTCTCTGCCATTCTCTGCATTTCATGTCCTGCACGCAGGAAGAGTTGGGACGCCAGAAAGACAAGTGAACGTGGACCGGAGCATCTCAAAGTCCACTAACGGTTCACCTGCAACAGCGTCATCTTCAGCTGCCACGTCCAGTAGCCAGGGAGCAGTACGATTGGTTGACCGGCGAGATGTACCACAGGTAATTCAAGAAAGCAAGTCCAAGTTTGACTTGGATACCAGCACTTGAGCTTCATAACTATTGCTGATGAGTACAGGACATGTACTTAGTACTAGATTTAGATTTAGAGGGCTTGGGATAGCAAGACACCACCGCTGGATTGTTTTGACTGAGACTAACTCTCGTGTGCTTAGAAAGGAATACAAGTTAGCTTCACTTTGCCAGGGCTGTGGCTTCACGGAGTGTCCCTTTTGTAAGTCTAATGGATCTCTTCTGTGTATTTGTGCTGTTCCTTTGTCCATGTCTCCTCCATTCATGGCGGATGAAGCAGACACTAGCTGAGTCATTGTATATACATCCTGATGTCATTCAGCGAGGCAACACTTCCCTGAGTCAGGTTAATAAGACCCAAGCAGCAGCAGCATCCACCAAGGCTGGTGCAGGCACTGTGATCACTGAGCATAGCCATCCTACCGTCTTAGCTGCACAAGGAAGCCAGTCTTCAATCTCGCAACCACTGCCAATGTCAGTTGTTCCGTCGTATGTGATGGCTATGCCATCGTCGTCTTCAGCAATGCCAGCAGGAGCGGCGCCGGCGCCAGTAGTAACTGTTGCTACTGCTATGAACACCATGGGTGGTGTTGTGGCTGCCGCTGGTGGTGCTGCCAGTAATGTGATGATGCCCGCTGCAATGATGCCATCGGTGGGTGCAGTTGCCACCCAGATGGGACCTGGTGGTGTGCAGTATCTTATTCCGGTTCAGTCATCGGATCGAAATGCACAGGCCTATCCAACTGGCTATACTGTTAGTGGGCCTCAACTGGCAGCAGCAGCAGCAGGACCGCCACCACCACAAGGCTGTGTGGCAGCAGTGGGACTAACTGGTCAGCCAGTAGCTCAACCAATAGCTCTGCAAGTTAGCCAGCAAGCAGCGGAGTATTCCATCAGCAATGGCAACCTCCCTAACAGTAGTAATAGCTATGGACAGGCAGTGATCACGGCAGCATCACCGACTGACAGTGCCGCACAATCCCAGCAGCATCCTGCAAACTCTACATTAGTACCTCTTGGAATTCAGAAAATGCCATCCAATCATCCAGTGTATGTACAGGTTCCTTCCCAGGCTGCTGGTTCACAGGGCGGTGGCGGCGTAACTGACATGACGTATGCTGGGACTAGTGTAGGACAAGCTACTGCAGTGGCTGCAGGTCCTGGTGGCTACCCATTCATGGTAATGTATCCAGCAGCTGCTGGAGCTGCTGGTGCGCCTACTGCCGGTACTGCCAGTGTGGCTGGTGCTGGTGCTGGTGCTGGTGGTGTTCTTGCATACTCCTTGCCAGGTGCTGTGCCGGCAAATGCCCAGCAGTACTCGTATACATTGCTGAATCCTGGTCAAGCATCCAGTGGAGTAGCCTCAGTCCCCAATGTTCCAGTCCATCATGTGGCTATGTCACTAGCTGATACAGATGAAAGTGGCAATGTAGTGTTGCCAGATAAAACACATCCAGCTACCACAGCGACGTCCCAGATGTCCGCTGAAGCTACCAGAAACTCCAGTCTCAATGCCAACCATGATAGTAAGGCTTACTCCGAATATCAACGAGTAACCGCAATGTCCGTTGCTCCACCTGCGCAAGTACAGGCTTTGCAACGGCCAGAACATGCCAGGGATAGCCACCAAGGCCCAACGGAAAGCGGCAGTGTGACTGCGAAAAGAAGTACTGGTCATACTACTAAGACAAGCATTGTTTGGAACACGACCGGTAAGAATCCAAGCCTACATGGTTAACTCTTCTGCACTATTTTCAGTTTTTGATATTGCCATGAAACTTTGTATGCAATGATGCATTATACGCTATTATGCTCTCTCTCTCTCTCTGACTATTGGTGTGTATGCGCAGTGTCTGATTCCATGAGGGATTACATGGATTACACCTGATATTGCTGCTACTGCTGGTGACTTCATCATCATTGTCGCTGCTGTTGCTATTACTCTTTCTTCTTTCTTGTAGAGACGTGTTTGTATCAACTGAGTCCATCTCAGATCTTTGTGCAGCTACTGGCAGCATCCAGCGACAATGAGCATTTCACATGGATGCCTGACAACATTCATTCACTGGTAAGGCTTTATCTGAGTCCAGACATTGTATGCTGGTAGGGTACCTTAGCATGTCCAGCCTCTTCATGCCAGTGTCAACCCATGTCTGCAGCAGTGGTGAGCCCGCAGGACAGGGTGTGTACCCGCAGGCCTGGTTGTGTACTCGTGGGCCTGGGATAGCACGTAATGATGGTCACATAATTATACGGGTACCGTTGACCAATCTCTTGTTATTGCACTTTATTGTGAATATTGGTATTATTGAGCTCTGTTCTCTGTCTTCTTCGATTTTACTCTTGGCGGGGTCCATCGAGCTAACAGTCCTGATGCAGAGATAACTGGTCTGCAGAGCTTGATGGGCCCCATCACCATCCTCCATTATTCAATGTATGTGATTGGAGATCGGTGCCATGCCTTTGTAGAAGGAGAGAAAGGAAACTCCTCATCATTGGCGGGATGAGCAGTTTCTTTTTCTTCTGCTTCTTGCTCACCTAGAATCATACGTGTTGGTTCTCTGTGCTGTTATGTTTGTATTTCAGGGCATTGTTCAAGGTCACCTCCTGTGCTGTGGATCAAAAAAGCTATGGTCGTGGCAGGTTAGCATTGTTCAGATCGGCTAAGCTGGCTAAGTTCATTGTAATGTGAAGCCGAATCAATGAAACCGTATGCCTTTTCTAGTTCAAAGTCAATGTGATTCCGACTGACGCAGAAGAGATTTTTATGCGCTTCGAATACTTCATCACGCTGCCGTTTGCTGTGTTGTGTTGGTGTGTTCATTCAAACTGTGACAGGACAAATCGTGGGTGTTTTGTTCCAATTTGGAGGATTGCACCGCAATGTGCAGCACGTCTCCAGATTCAATGGTAAGTCAGGTTTACCATTTGCACTCCACGAGTAAACAGGTGACAGTTATGAGACTAATCTCCACTCGGACCAATCGACAAATGAAGAAGCATGCAGCTGTATAAACCAGGCATTCTAAGTGTTAGTATTCTGCAGTTCAGCTTGGCCAGTAGGGTTACGAAAGCAGAAAAGAAAAAAGGTTGAGACCCAGATGTGTGTGCCCTTTGTCACTGATTCAGTTGATCTCCCTTTGTTTGTGTTTACCTCAGAATCTGCTGGTATGCTGCGGTAAAAAACTTCTGAGACGCGATGACTGGATGGTAAGGAGTGAAGCCGCTGTCTGGAGGCTTTAGCTGCGGGGCATTTATGCAACTCTTGTTTCATTGGCATAAAGTCCTTTTTTGTTTTGGACAGTATTTTGTGTGATTTCTGTAAAATACCCACTGTCTGCCACTGTGTTTTATTCCCCAGGATGACATTGAGGGTGGTGATGGTGATTTCTGGCACTATATATGTGGTAAGTAAATTAGCCTATTGCGGAATAATGTCCGTTCACTTCATTTGGTGCATTGGCTTTATCGCTGTGATCTTCCAAGCTGAAGTTAGCACTGTAATCATCACTGCTTCTTAGAAGTGGGTCGTAATTGAATCGGACGCCTCTGCCTCTGCTCCAACGTGACATGGGTATGCTTGCTGTCTTTATGCAAATGCCAGTTCGACCGTGACTCCGGTACTTTAGAAGTAGCAGCTACATTTCGAAACCAGTGAATTGTATCTCGACTGTGGACATTTTGTGGCTTGAGATGTGCCAAGAGGTAGAGTAGAGGGAAGATGAAGCGGTACAAAAGTGCCACTTTGGCTGTCCATATGTGCTTATGCACAAGCAGGCAATTTCCACTACAGTTATGGCGTAGAAGGCTAGGTGGAGGTCAATCTTGAAAGGAATGTTGTAGGTCTGCATCATGATACTTGAAGTACTGCTCTATGATAAGCAGATGCACTGTAAAACTTGGGTTAACCCTTTGTTGATGGCATCATTTGGTATGTAAAGCAACAGCACTGTGAACGTTGGCGGGATGGCTATGTACAAGTTATGAATATTTTGTAGGTACAAGTAAACATTTTCTGAATGGTATGGGTAAGTGCTATCTTAAAATACCAAATTTGGTAAATTCCCACACTATATGTACAGTACACGCTCAGCTAAAGTCCAAAAATGGGCGAAAATAGTGAAAATTGTAACTCTACAGAATGTACACTCACACCATCTCTGCTCCTGTTGCTGCATCTACCGAAATTGGTCAAAGGCATGGGAGTGGTAGATCCTGAAGCACTGGCGATGTGGCGGGATGCACAAATGCACCGGATTGTCTTGTCGATTCTTGCACTCTGCACATTTGTACACCGTCTTGTTGTGCTTTCCTATGTGGGCTTGACGCACCACACAATTCTGTCGCTTTCCTGCATGAACTGCAACATGTGGGTTGTAGAGTGTCTTGCTGGCAGCTGCTGCCGAGTGGTGCTGACAACAAACGTTGGTACGATGGCGGGCTTTCATTGGGTGCGATACCAGCCAGCTGCTGCACGAGCTCTTCCCGGAACTCGCACTGTGAGTAGCCCTTGATCTGCTGGAGACTGCCGGGATTTGCTTCACGGTATGCCGCAAACAGCTTGTAGGCATTGATGACTGCGGTCTCCTGCATGTCACAAACCAGCACCTTGGTGAACTTCCTGGAGCGTCGAAGAAGCCGATAGCTTGCCACCAGCTGATCATGAACATCAACACCATCCATGGATTTATTGTACTGGACAATGGCGGCAAGCTTCCGCATGACCTTGTCCACCCACCCCTGTCCTTCCTTGACTTTGATTGTGACGTCCACGTAGTCAGTTGCCTTGTGCATGGTGGACAAGACTGTGACAACTCACTTGTCAAGCCACTGAACGTATGCAATGCCGTCAACTCTCTCGAAGCGCAAGTCACTTCGTTGGCCGTGTCGCTGGAAGTAGCTCGTATTTTTTAGACGCGCCGGGAAGCCTTGACGATTGGAGTTGACGGTTCCCACAAGGTGGGTGCCGTTGTCTTTCAGTGTCTTGCCAAAGCATGTGACGTGTAGTAGTTGTTGGTGTACAGCTGGTATTGCTGACCCACGTAACCATCCATGAGGCACATCACAAGTGCATGCGTGAGCCCATGCTGTGTTGGCGGCTGCTGCTCTCCAGTATACAGCTCGAAGTTGCAGTTGTATGCGTTTGCAGAATCACAGAGAGTGAAGGACTTGAAACCCCAGAGCACTGGTTTGTTTCTGATGTAAACCTTCATGAGCTGCCTCCCCTTGAGCCGTATCATTCGCTCGTCGATGCATATCTGGCGCCGCGGGTGCCAAAGTTCTTTGCCCTGCGTTCTCAGGAAGTCGTAGAGGTAACGCACTTCGATCAGCCGATCCTGCACTGGTCCGGGCGGAGGTGGTGATACCTGGAAGAACGTAGAAATTGCCTGAAATCGAGTTCGCTCTGCCATCCGCCTTGCCCAAAGCCCGGCATTCAGGGGTTTGCAGCACCAGTAGTTTGATGCTTTCGCAATTCGAGCGAGGCCGAAGTAAATCAACAGAGCAATGTACGAACGAACTTCGGTAGCATCCATGTTCTTCCATGAGCCATGCGACTGGCCATACGTTGGCTTGTTCAGAATGTGCAGCCAGGCGTAGTCATTAGTGCACTTCACTATTGTGTCGATCACAGCACACAACTACAACGAAAAGAGAAAGACCACGATGAAGAGAAAAGTTTGAGAACACTGACAAAAAACCAGCTGACGCAATCCTGGTGCCGTAACTATGGTGAAAATGCTGGCAAAAAATACATTTTTCGTTTCATTCGCTACGCTCAGCCAACGAAAAATAACACATTGCAAAAGAACAAGGAAAAAACTCGCTCATTTGCAGCCACAAAGTTTTCTGGAAGATGTAATCCAGGTTGACGACTTGGGGCAAAGTCAGGGACCTCAACGTCTTCATCCTGGTTCTGCCATTCACCCATAGCGGGAGCAGGGACGCCTCGACCTCTGCCGGCTCCGCCAGTGCCGCGGCCTTGACGACCTCCGCCTGTACCTGTGGCACGTGCAGCGCCAGCTCCTCGTACTCCACGGCCGATCGCCGCCGGAATTGCAGTTGCGACGCCTCGTCCTTGACCTTGAACGACAGTAGCCATCGGTTCACTCGCCTCTTGTGGCAAGTGCTCACCTGGCTCGCCTCTCGTGGCAAGTGCTCACGTGAAGTAATAGTTTCATCGCTGGGTGGACACTCTCCGCTGCTATCTGGATCCGCATCGACATTCTCTGCTGCACTGGTATCTGCGCCGTCGTTGGCAGCGTTGTCGACGGGAGCTCCGTCATCTGCCTCTCAATTTCTTCTTCCTCGTCGGCGTCGAGGAGAGGGACATCTTCATCTGACGATAGATCGACAAAATCATCGCCGTCTGAATCATCTAAGACGAAGGCAAGCGCTTGTTCTACTTCCATCTGTCTCCAATATGCTAACTACTTCCGAACTCTGCTTGCGCAGCGCGTCCCAGATTTCGATGTCATGAATCGCGGGAAATTCAAATGCGAGCACCCCGTTTTCTGCACGGCATGCTGTAGACCCCTACTGTACCCGTGTCCACTTGAAAGATCAAGGGCTCAGGCTGTACGATAATAGCACGGCGAACTGACAACACGCGACTTGTTGAAGGCGTCGTATACGACACCTTCAATGTATGTGCTGTCAACAAAGGGTTAAGCGACCTCTGGTAATCGCAAGCGACCACCCGGTTTTAACGACCGTTTCCATGCACCGGCAGTTTTGCATAGAAACTGCACCGGAAACAGCGACCACCTGGATTGCGCGACCAGCGACTGTCTTTTAGTGTGCCAAGTGGTCATTGGCTACCCCAGCCATGTATTGCTTGGAATAATAAATAAATAACGTATCTGACCTGCTGCATACAGCAACCAAAGGTGCTGTCCTGGCTGGTAGACTTGACTGCATGCAACAGGTTTGAAATGCGCTCAGAAGCGAGTGCATGCAGTCAATGGAAGTGACAAGTGACAGTGCAGGGTGCGCTGCATGCACTTGAGTGAGGTGTGAAACTCATGGGTGCTTCCTCTGGATGAAAGTGTTCTGTGCCCCACACCTGTCACTATGAGTCACGTATAAATTGGAGAATGTGCGTGATCCTTCATGTCGCGAATGCATGGGACCTTGTTTTAAAGACCACCTGGCTTTAACGACCAACTTTCCTCGCGCTGCGGGGCGGTCACCCAAATGTACATTTAATGTTAGTTCCTAACCACATGCTTCCGAAACATAACGGGTTGCAATAATACAACGCTTTTTTGTAACTTTTGTGTGCTATTGCTCAGACTGCGAGTCCTTCTCTAGTATCGCACAGTGCAAACAGGTAAGGGAAGCCCAAACGAGAGAGCTTGGAAGCTCAGGGCCCTACGCTATGCTTTTTTGCCTTGATGATCTAGACAAAAAAAAAGCATAGGGATGTTATAAATTCTTTAAAAAATTCCTTTTTTTTAGACATAACCTGGGATTCGAACCCGCACTATCGCGCGCCCTGCATTCATCCCCCGATGCACTTCGCATACATACTAATTCTTCCAACTTGTTTCACATTGTGATCTTGCATTTGAAAGCCCTATTTGAGTTATATGCATTGTGGCCAGCCGTCTTTGATGGCACGGTACGGTAGGGGATAGGGACGGGACAGGTACGATCGAGGGTAATACGACACCGTCTCCCGTACCGTACCGTACCATCAAACACAGCTGGCCACATACAGCTTCCCGCAATATTCAAATAGGGCTTTCAAACGCAAGATAATAACGTAACGCAACTTGGAAGAATGGGTATGAATGCGAAGTGTATGGGGGAATGCATGTAGGGCGATAGTGCGGGTTCGAATCCCAGGATATGCCTGAAAAAAAGGAGAATTGAAAAATTTATAACATCCTATGCTTTTTTGCCGTCAGATACGGATAGCGCCAGGCGTGACACAAACAAACACACAAACAAACACCAAATTAAAGCTGTGTGGACCCTGGCTAGCGCCAGACGTTACTGAAGTAACGTCTTCTGCATAGCTACGGGAATAAATCGTATTGTTCATTTAGGGAACTGGTCGTTCATCTTCCTATTCCGTGGCTTAGCCATTATGGCCTCAGATCAGTTGGTGCATGGCTACAATGTACGGACATGTGCTTGTATATGTCCGTACATTTAAAAGTTCTGCATAGAGCGAGTGACGACGGCTGAGAGGAGGTTGATATGGAAAGCAACTTGTCAGATCTCATTCTTTTCTTGTCTTCTTATTTCTTCACATTTCCTAGGTCTTGCAGGGAATACCAATGGTTCACCTGTATAGCTCTGGCCATCTTAGGGGTAATCTTGCATTTATGTGTGTTGTTTCTCGCTCTTTCCTTTCAGTTTGTATTTGGCTCATTCAATGGAAACGTTGCTGTGTTCAATATCCGGCGACCATCTAAAAAGTGGACGATTCTAGAAGATGCACCCAAACTAAGGACCTTGGCTGCTCATGGCGGAACCGTCTATGGGATTGATGTGAACAATCACCGCTATTCTTGTCAGCTGACTATGGATGGTGAATCATTGCAGAGCATGCAGTGGTACAGAGATGGTGCTGCCTTGCAAGCAACTGTGGACATGTGTGGTGAGTTGTTCACATTGTGTTGCTGCTCAGTGGGTTTTCTGATATAGACTGTCCTAGCATTAGCAAGTACTGATATAGACTGTCGTAGCATTAGCAAGTAAGAGACTTAGTAGCAGTGGTGAGGCTTCCTGCGGCTTCATTAGGAAGCGGTTTTAGAGCAAACCCACTCTTTTCCATTCACTCTGCAACACTATCGAACTCCTTTATCAATCAATTTTTACAATGTTTCGACAGATTGCCCTCATTAGATATGCAAAGAGGTGTGTTAGCCGATGATTGTGGGGCTGGGAAATTGCCCTGATCAGGTATGCAATGTGCTGCATACCTGATGAGGGCAATTTGCCAGAACGTTTTAATAATTGATTGATAAACGAGTTCCGGATATTGTTGCAGAGTGAATGGGAAAGAGCGGGTTTGCTCTAAAAACCACTTCCTACGTAAGACACTGCTTTGAAAAGGATATTTAACGTAAGGGTTGTGTTGTGCACGAGTTTGGTGGTCACACAATAACGATATTTTGTGTGCTGTTGGGGCATTTCCAGTGATATTTGTGTCTGTTCAAGTAAAAGATTGTGCCTGATGAAGCCTGACCGATCCGTTTGGTTTGAGCACCGTAGCTGGTTGTTGCATTTTTGTTTCTTTGTTTTGGCAGCTGGCCCAGCCCCACAATCCTTGTCTAACACATCACCACGGAAAGAAGAGACTGCAGAGGAAAAGCCTAAACATCTGTTTTCATCCTCAAACCTGTCATCTTCTGTCGCTACGCCAGCCACTTCTGGTTGTAATGGCCAAAATGGAAAGTCTTCAAGTGGCTATGCAACGAATGGAGGTACCAAGACGAGTTCTGGTAGCCACTCACATCTAGGAGCGATATCATCCTCCATGAAATCTCAATCAAGAGGAAAGCCATCTGAATACCAGCCACTTTGTCCTCCACAAGTCAGGTTCCCAATGTAAGTGTTCTTACGAGATGGTTTGTGCATCAAGTACCGCATTTTCCGGAGTAAACGCCGCAATTCAAACGCCAGTGCTCCACCCAAAAGAAGTCGGTACGGCTTGCACTACGATGATCAAATTAACGGTGATAAACAGGGTAGATGTTTGTATTTCGTGACAAAAATCTGGGTGCGGCTGTTACTCCAGAAAATACGGTATGTGCTGCTACAGTTGCTGCTCTAACATGTGTCCCTGTATCTATTATTAGCTTGCCCTCTCCCCCCCCCCCTCCCTCAGGAATCAAGTGTATGGATTTTATAAAGCTCAACTTACCATTTTCCGATTCATAGGAGGCATTACCAATGAATCTCGCTTTTCTTCTACCATTCTCTTCATATTGCTCCACAGTGGCAGCGGTGGTGACGATGTCAAGAGTCTATACCTCTTTACACAATCCTTGTTCTTGTGGAAAATGACTTCCGCTGGTGGTAAGTGCGCTCTTTACAGTAGCATGTGAACAGGGAATTGTACAAACCCGGGAGAGAATACAGCATGCACAGGTGCACAGGTGATGCGAGCCTCACATAGCCAGCAATCGCATGTCATCTCGTACATTGAAAATCAACATAATTTTGCGAATCGACCTTTTTTTCAGGATCACTTTTCAACGAGGACGAAGCAAAGTCGGCCGAACGAAGCCTAGAGGAAGAAAATCACCCTCTCCACTTCACCATCACGATACTGACATAGATACGAGATGAAACAACTAAAAAATTCACAAGAAAACTGTACGACCATCATCGCGCTGACTTTGGTCTGACTTTGGTCTGAGAATTTCTATCACGATCAAAAATGTACGAGGAGCACTCAAAAATCAGCCACAGACGTACCTTTATCGCTCTCTACTCCTTTTTCAAGGCACAAAAGTCGACTCTCCACTTTCAAACCAGGAACCAGACATACCAGTGGTCCTTTTCAGCTGCTCCACGAGCGCAGGAAATGTTCACCAAGGGGCGCAGAGCAGCATCCATTCCAGAAAAATAGCTAAAATACGAGTGAGACTGCATGCCTGAGTACATGAGTACATGTATGAGTACATGCAGAAAATAGTCAATTTCAGCGTTTCTGCTCCAAACAGCAACTAGCTTCGACTAGAAACAAAGATTACACCAAAGGATCAAACAACAACCATTTTCTGCAGTTTTTTTGCAGATGGCTTCCTTGTGCTTGGCCATTGCGCGAAATCACGCGACACCTGTACATTTTCGATCTGCGGGATGAAGATGACGACGTCCATGCATCAGGTATCAGGGGGTAATAAGATACTGGTATATTACTACTCCACGCCTCAAATCGTGCTGTCAAGCGTATGCGGGGGAGTGTAGCATGCCATCCCTTACACTTTCCAGCTCAGGGTTACCCTCGCTACCAATGGACGAAATTTCAGGGTCACAGCTTGCGCAACGGCTTTGTCCTGTGCGAATGGCCACTCGACATACTCAGCACAAATTTTCTATTGCATGCATGCACAAAATGTTCAACTTTCGTATTTTTGGCGACTTTACCACCGTCGTGGAGGCTGGTTGGTGAGGAGCAGGTAGCCATCCCTTGTGGAATCAAACACATGGTTCCACAGTGTGGCTGATTCCGCAAGAGCCAGGTCCATACGAGGAACATTCGCTTTGTCTTTTGCCATCGAAGTAAGTCACTTTTCTTGTTCTCAGTGTTTTTTACGTTCGACGTTTCTGAGATTTTTGAATTATTCACTTTTCATTCTTTCATACTTTATTTCTTCATGTTCACTGCCTCACTTGCCTTCTGATCTGGAGAATGTGACGGAGGTGACTGTTGGTCACTGCCTGGTATAACGGTTGTCGTGCTGTTGCTGTATTTCCGTCCTGCTCGCGACGTTGTAGATCACAAACAATTTGAAATCACATGAATTGTACTTACCGTCGTGCGTGCGGTATTAGGAAACACTGTGCAGATTAGATCGTCGCAATGTATCTATATGTGTGTCTGGTCATCCTGTGCCACGCAAGAACTCCAACCAGACGCATTCGTCCTCGGCCCTGTTGATCGATTGTCCACTCGTCTTTCCTTGAAGAACGATCGATCGAAAAAAATCGAGCTCGAGGACTTTTTGCAAAAAAACGGCTGAAAAAAGGAAGAAAAAAGGGTGCTCAGAATGAGATTCGAGTACACAACCATGGTCCCGGCAGTTTATGTGGATGTCGCTCATAGATGCGCGATTTCGCGCAATGCCAGCACGCCAAAAATCACACCTCGGAGGAGTACAAAAATTACAACTCTCAGATGTCCTTGATTGCTGGCCATGTGATTCTTGTGGAAGCCTGTGGGTACCCCCCCCCCCCCCCCCCCCCTGCAACACGCGGACTGCTTTAGGAGTTGTGTCTGTGCCATGATGCTTTGAGGGTGGCCTGGGCATTCCTACGGATGCAGACAATGTAGTGAGGCTGACGTTCATGTGTGCCGTGGATTTTTTAAAAACTTATCATGGAATGGCTTGTCCCTGTGTCACCTGCGTAATGTTTTTTTCATGAGGTGATAGACCTGCTGCATTTGTGAAGATGTGATTGTTCACAACGGCAATGCCTGTTCTTGTTCTTCTTTCTTGTCCCTATGGTTCTTTACAGAATTTGAGTGTGTAGCAAAGCTACCATGGATGCCTACAGCTATGGCATTCCTGGACAAAACGTGAGTGATGTACAGCAAGTGCTAATGGGTTGACATGTTTGTTGATGCAGGCTGTAGGGTGGTGGCCAGTATTCCAGCGTTCTACAGTAGCTGTTATGTTACGAAGAGTATGGGTGCACTGTAGAGTATGGGTGCACTATAGAGTATGAGTGCACTATAGAGCATGAGTGCACTATAGAGCATGAGTGCACTATAGAGCATGAGTGCACTATAGAGTATGAGTGCACTATAGAGCATGAGTGCACTATAGAGCATGAGTGCACTATAGAGTATGAGTGCACTATAGAGCATGAGTGCACTATAGAGCATGAGTGCACTATAGAGCATGAGTGCACTATAGAGTATGAGTGCACTATAAAAGGCTGAAGTTGTAATGCCATTGCTTCTGATGCACGCTTGGTAGACATTGATAGTGGGAGAGAATCCTTGTTTTGCCCGGTTGCTGGTGAAGTAAGGTAGTAGATAGAAACTCATCTCATGTGACAAATGAATCAAACTTTAGACTAGATGTATCACAAGCAAGGATATTGAAGTTGCAATAGGTATGACTATGAGTTGTATTCCAATGTTCTGTGGTAGCTGGACATGTATCAATGTACTTTGTTATCCCCGGGCGTTGCAACGGAGCACAAACGAAACTAAAAGTAATAGAGTTCCATGTACATGTAGTGTTTTCTTCAGAGCTTCCCGTTTCAACTCCCTCAAATTTAGTAATAACTCATGGTTTTGTTTTCATCTTTTTACAGTGCTTACGCTGTTGCTGATTCAACTTTTTTTGCTGCCGATATTGAGATGGATGGAGAGTAAGTCTCCTTGTTAAGTCATAGTTTGGCTGTGAGTGACTATATGCAATTGGGAGTGACTGTGAATACATGCACGAATGGTTAGCAGCTCAAAGGTGAAACTGTAAAGCATACTACTGGCCAATGTGATGTTTTTTTTCTTTTTTCGAGCGTGGTACCAGTACAAGTAGTAATACATTGGCAACACATTGGCAACTTGAAGTGTTATGTGCCTTTTCAGCCCATTCCCAGCTCATCATGCCTACAGAGAGGATGATGTGCCCCTGCCCCTCTTGTATGAACAAATGATATCAGTCTATTTCTTATGGCCAGGTCGAGATTAGTTAGCATTCATATGCATTGGCTGCAAAGGAGTTTGGCTGATTGTCATACCATTCAAATGTTACCTTGATGGAATGCCTATCTTTGAATGTTTTTCACCACTAGGGAAGGCAAACTTGGGGAGTGGAAGCCTGTGCAAGAGTCCATCTTCATGTCTGACATGGTGGCTCACCGTGGATGGTAAGCGCTGCACGCCGTATCATGTAGGTGGTAACTGCTAGATTCTCCGCATTGCACCATTGTGAGTCATGAATCTGATGAATCGGGAAAATGTCAACCATGTTCTTACCGGTAATACTCCTTGCGCTACTACGCTAGTACTAGGAGTTAGTGGTGTGCATGGGTAGTTGGGTACCCGTCCTACCCGTGAGGACCTCGGGTAGACGGGTACAGAATAGTACCCGAAAACCCAAAGTCGCAGATGACATCATGTACAGTGCACGTGTACTAATTCATGTAATACTCCTCATGTGTAAGGGAAGGGGTGCATTGTGGTGTTACCATGGAAACAATACCCGATCGGGTACCCGTGCTACCCATGGAAAACTACCCGATACCCGAAGAAAACGCTACCCGCCTCAGCCCTACTAGGAGTCGTCCTTCCATACTTTTGGAATTTGCCCACGTCACTTTGAGCAGCTCTGCATCATCAATGTGATAGAATTGGAAGGAGAAGGAGGCCAAGTCAAGGGCTTGGTTCTTTGCATGATATGCCTGCAGTTTACAGACCCTGTGTGCTTGTGTCCTGTGCTGCCGCTGCTGGTGGTGTTTGGCTGAATATTGCTGGTGTTTGGCTGAATATTGCTGTACACACTTTGCCTCTTCCAGCTTTTCACATCAGTATTTACTATGTTGATTGTCTTGTGTTACTCCAGCCTGTTTGGCCTTGGGCAGAAAATGCTGTGGAAGCGTGAGGATGCGGCTCAGCAAGGATGGGTTGCTGTCGGGTGAGTTGAAATATTATCACTCTGGAGTACTAATTTTATCTAACGTGCTAATTGCGTGCTTGGGCTGTGTTTCTTGTGGGCTTAGCATGGATTAGTAAGTTCCATAAGAGTTATCAATGTTATGATCTCGAACTCGTCAGTCACTGAACTGATTTTATTGTAAAGAAGGCATAAACGTATGGTGTATGAAGAAGAGTATAGCATAATGGAGAGCGCTGGATGAAGAGCTGCTGGATCATGATGAGCTGGATAGTATATCAATAAGAGCACTAGGGGAAGGCTAAACAATATGTCACCAGCCATCAATAGGTATTGTGTGAAATCCAGTCAATAGCACTAAAGAATTAAGTCAACCACAACACAGTCAATTGCTTTAGACAATCAGGACAAGCAAGACACAGATTCCCAACACTGAACAACCCTGCCATAACACCCTCGTCTTCAAATATTCCAGAACAGGGGAGGGAAGGAATAGCATACGGACACTTCTTGAATTGGCGATCGATTTTTCTTGTTAAAAATAGCGCGAAACTGTGTGCCTCGTTTGAGATTCAACTCTTACAGTATGGAAATACGCATGATAACGTGATGTGTATGTTTGATTACATGCCTGAAGATTTCCCTTTCCAGCCCTCCAATATTTTTTCACTTCAGTATCAGAATTATAAGAAAGTGTAGAGAAACAAGCTACAGCCATTGTGCTGCTAATGGTTGAATGTCTCTTAGTCAAAGTTTTGTAACTGTTGCTCTACTCATTTTCTCGTCTTTCCACTTTGTTCAGATGTTCTGAAGCAACCGCAATAGCATCTGCTGATGACTATGTATTTCTTGTCAGTCGTGACAAGGTATGGTTTGTAGCAGCCTTGCGGCAAAGACACTATTTAGCACAGCTGGAGGTACACATGAGGACAATGGGATGTGAGATTGCCTATGAATGAAAAATGATCTAGCTCCTACCAGTATAACCAAGAATGTGCTCCTATTCCAGTTTGGAGAACCGGTTTCAGTTAAAAATGATTTTTTGTGGCAATAACTTGAATGAGGAATACTAAAATTCACCATATTTTCAAAGTGACATGTGCAGGGTATGTTGTACACACTGTACCCAGGGACCACGTTCCAAGATTCGTAGAATCTTCCAACACATAGACACGTCCTCGGGCACCATGTTTGCACCGAGTGTCGTGCCAAATTGGGAACTACAGAGCGGGAATATACTGAACCGCCTGCGTTAGTCATGCTAACTGGAAGGGTTTCCTGTGTGGAAGTAATGCACGCTGCAAGTGTGTTTCTGCTGTTGTTTGTGCTCCACGTTCAGCTCTACAGCATGCATCCAGACCCAGAAAGCAAACAATTCATTACAACATGGAGTGAAGCTGGGCCTGCTAGCAAGGTAGCATTACAACATGTATCATGTGTCCTTCTGAAATTGGATGCATTCGCACTATCCTGTTGTGCATTCTTTTGTCTTCTTTGTCGCATGTGTTCGCCTCTCTTTTGTTTTTCTGTTCCTAGTGTATTTTGTCTTGTGCTTTCTATGCCCTGTCTTGTGGTGTGTGTAGGTTTGGTCAATGAAGGCTGCTGGGTCTCACTTGTACGTATTAGACTTATCTAGCAATCATTGCAATCTCCCATGTTCACTGATATACGGTGTGGGAAGCACTGGGTGGTTGTAGATCACTGCATGTATAATGCACGCATGTAGAATGACTGCCGCTGATCCACGTCTCAAAGCCTCTATTCTCTTGGCAGCTGTGTTATCGGCGGGGCGGAGGATTGATGTATGGTGTTGTTCAGTACAACCTTGACCTGCCATGCAGGGTTTTGCACCATCACTTTTTCCACAAACTACCTATGGGACTTTGTGACACTGGCTGTGTAGGGTGTGTTAACACAGTTTCCATGGTTACATGACACGCTGTTGTCAGAATCGATGGATACACTTCAATAATATTTGTTTGAACAGCAAGGAGTATGTTGCTGCAATAAGGTAGTGAACAAATGGGGATATAACCTGTTTTATTTTATTTTTAACGTTTGTCCTCAACCCTTTCCGCCTTGTAGCTCATGTATAAGAAAGCTCTGCTCCTAAGAGCGGTGCATACTTTCTCAAGATGCACACCTCCTCTCTGTGAACTTTTCTCCTTCAAATTATCACTAGCCTGAGGTGTCGGATTAGTTTCATTGGTTGTGTGTGCTTTATCGCCTGTATTCCACTCCTCTGCAGGTACAGCCTGTGTGGTAATACGCTGTGGAGTGGACCGGTCAAAACACCTGCTAACACTGAACATGTGTGGACCAAACTGTGCAACACAAGACAGTACGTAATCAGTGGAGCTTTGCACACTTACCAGCTCAGTGTTCGTACAGTAGTGCTGCTCAATGAAATCCGATCAAGCGAGCCAATGCCACGCCGGGCATTGTGCAGCCCTGGACCTGCAAACACTGGGATGTGAACTGGTGCAGTACGCAAACTTGACTCACATGATCGGATTTCATTGAATGGCAACTTGACTCACACGATTGAATTTTATTGAACTGCACTGTACTTTGTAGTGTACACTTTAAACAATTGTTTCTAAATTGAGGGGGCTGTATAGGTTGTGGATATGGTTCGGTATGGAAATCAAGTGACTATTTCTTTACAAATACAGCCCATGAGTATATAGATAAAATTGCACAGCTTGCGTGTAACTCACGGTGGAACCATGGGAGGTTAACGCATTGACAACACTTCTCAGCCATTTTTGTTTATCGAAATTGTTGAAGTTTCTGCTCACACTATCCACCTGTCATTCCGAACCCCCGAGGCCATTTTTACATCATCAATGTTCAAGGTGGATAGCAAAGCATTTGCAACACTACATCTGGTCCTCCCCCCCACCCCCTGACATCACCAAACCAAAGTAGATGGCAAGCGCAGCACGTGGTTGTAGGAATGTACAATACGTATCAATCAACCAGCCAGTCCAAAATATCAATAGATTGACTCAGCACTAGATATAGTTATATCATCGTGTAGTGTATGTTCTGAATTTTTTTGCATTCGGAAACCAAATACAATTGGTATTTGTTGCTGTTAAAGGGGAAGTATACCCTAAAATCAAATTTTCACCAGTTGTAGTCTTCGGGGTGCTGAGTCGAATGGTCTTGGTCCGAGGAAGCTGAGACGCTCCCTTCCTACTTGAATCCCAATCGAACTCGCGCACTTCCACCGAAACTGGGTGACTGCGCCCTACTAGATGGGGATTTGTATGCAAAATGTCACTAAAAGCGCCATTTCGTTCTTATAAAAGCGTGGATGACCGCGATTGGCCCATATGTTGTAGTCTTTTGGACGCTGAGTCGACTGGTTTTGGTCCGAAAAGGCTGCGATGCAGCGTTCCTCCTTTATTCCCAATCGAACATGGTTGAACAAGCGGTCACGTGCTCCTGCGTACACCAGTCACCTGGTCACCGTGCCTGCAGGGTACAACTTACTAGCCTGTTTGACCTTTTTTGGGTGCAGTCCTGTCACTCGAGTTGAACTCGAGTTGAACCTTGGTGTGAAAGTTGTCGCCTGCTGGCGCGGTGACCAGGTGATTTGGGCACCCAGGAGCACGTGACCACTTGTTCAACCATGTTCGATTGGGAATAAAGGAGGAACGCTGCATCGCAGCCTTTTCGGACCAAAACCAGTCGACTCAGCGTCCAAAAGACTACAACATATGGGCCAATCGCGGTCATCCACGCTTTTATAAGAACGAAATGGCGCTTTTAGTGACATTTTGCATACAAATCCCCATCTAGTAGGGCGCAGTCACCCAGTTTCGGTGGAAGTGCGCGAGTTCGATTGGGATTCAAGTAGGAAGGGAGCGTCGCAGCTTCCTCGGACCAAGACCATTCGACTCAGCACCCAGAAAACTACAACTGTTGAAAATTTGATTTTAGGGTATACTTCCCCTTTAATATCTAAATTAGCTCAGCCTTTGTTGACGACGGTTGAAGATCGCTAGGTGTGCTCCAAGAGAGTTCCCATGAGTCACACTTACCAGACACAGAGAAACCAAATTGTTTGTTGCTGCTGCTATTGTAGGCGTCTGTGTCAGCATCGTTGGTGCTGCTGCTGGTGGCCGGTGGCGGCAGCAGTTGTTCTTGTTGTCATTCTTGTCGGTGTTTGTGTCAGTGTTGTTGTCCTCGTCATTGTTGTGTCGAGCGACTGTAGTTAAAAGAGCCTATAGTTGTTTCTTCTTGGCATGACTGTGGCTTCTAAAAAGTAAGATAATATGGCTTGGCAGTGCTACATAACACCCAGCTCGGAGTCGTGACAGGGCTGACTTATGGATCCACTTGGATTCAGTTCTTGTATGGATCCATACATGTTTGGGTGTTTTCCTTCACAGCGTAGTGCGTAGTGAAACATCCACCGGTAGTGACTGGCCTGGGCCCTCCTGGCCAGGACCCACTCTTGGTACAAACAAAATAACGCCTGCGTGCGACACGGGGGCCCCACCCACCGCATCCTGCACTTCCCGCTTTGGGTAGAGTGGATCCAAATGTCAATATTTGCCATTAGATTTTGACTTCTGACATCATCTCTTAATCTAGAAGGATTGAAATGTGCTATATGCGAGGCAACACAGGTGGGGAAAAAGTGCCAGTGTATAATGCGTGTCAGAGAATGACAAGAATGCAAGCCGCAATGAGCACGCAGTCAGATCATGCAGACAGTGGTAGATTGTGCAAATGAACCATGTAAAAGAGTAATGAATTTACCTTCTTCTGTTGCTATTGCTGCTATCTGATACTCCAAAGTACATGGATTATGATATGTACTGTACATGTAATGGTTGTGGTCACTATGTTGTTTGTGTATATAGTATGAATGATAATTATGTGGTTTGATTATGTGGCTGTACAGGGTGAGTGGTCTGTGTTCTGGACCAATGAATATAGGCACAATGTCTGATGTCCCTGAAGATGCTGTCTCACCTATTGGTAAGTGTTCGTTATAATGCTGCACGCAAGACTTTGTTTGCACCCCTCTCTATCTCTCTCTCTCTCTCTCTCTCTCTCTCTCTCTCTTCCTCCCTCCCTCCCTCCCTCCTTCCCTCCCCCTTCTCTCTCTCTCTCTCTCTCTCTCTCTCTCTCTCTCTCTCTCTCTCTCTCTCTCTCTCTCTCTCTCTCTCTCTCTCTCTCTCTCTCTCTCTCTCTCTCTCTCTCTCTCTCTCTCTCTCTCTCTCTCTCTCTCTCTCTCTCTCTCTCTCTCTCTCTCTCTCTCTCTCTCTCTCTCTCTCTCTCTCTCCCCCCCCCCTTCTCCTCACACTCTCGTACTCCTACTTTCTTTTTCTAGCCCCCCCCCCCCCCCTCCCTCACCCTCTGTCGATAAATTCTGCCCACAGAGTGCCCATACAAAACCTCCTGTTGTGTGATTGCGGGGTGCAAAGTATGGGAGGTGTCAGAAAGTACCAATTACACTCGTACCTCGCTTATCCAGACGGTCCGGGACCGGGCACTGCCCGTAACTTCGAAATGTCAATAACTCCGAATCACATAGTATTATTACGTTATGATGGGGAAAGGCCGTAAATATGACATAATTATGACGTCACTATTTCCACGAGAAGTGACAAAAGAGTAGTAATAGTTCCACTAAAACTCGCCAAAAGAATGCCCGGTGGACCGAAGTGCCCGCATCTCCGGGGTCCGGATAGGGAGGTATGAGTGTACTTGCAAACAGCTTCTGCAGTGCAGCATGGATGAATTATTATTTTACAGTTGTTGAAATAAAACAGGCTGTCTGATAAACTGATAGGAGAACATTATTATCTGTACTCTAAGAAAAGTCTCACTCCCTTAACCCTTTGCATGCTGGCCTGTTTTCCGCAATACTCTGGCACTCCAGCGCACGGACTCTCCTGGTGGAGTTTAGGCGCACTGCTCCAAACGAAATTTATTATCATTTCAGCTCACCTGGATGGAATTTCACCATCCTGGGCTTGTTGGAAAGATCAGGACCAAGCGAATCCATCCTGGAAGGTCTCAGCTCCACAGCCCCACCAGAGCGACATCCACAGCCTCTCCGAACTGGCCCAGTATGCCTCGGAAAGAAACAACAACTCAGTCACACATTCTTTTCGGCTCCTTGCTCAAATTCTCCCGATTTTCATGATTCAAACACACTTCATTTGATGTCCATACCGCATGTGCTGTGGAAAAGGGAAATCCCCTGGCATGCTCCAAACAACTGCGAAGTCACAAACAAAAGAATTCACGATCGCTCCAGGCCATGATTTCTGTGGTCAA